GAGGACAGAGGAGCCTCTTAAAGAAGAAGTTACAGGTCTGTGAGAGCCAGAAATCTTGCTTGTTTGTAGGTGACCAAATACTTATTTTCCACCATAATTTGCAAATAAATTCATTTAAAATCCTACAATGTGATTTTCTGGATTTTGTTTTCTCAATTTGTCTGTCATAGTTGACGTGTACCTATGATGAAAATTACAGGCCTCTCTCATCTTTTTAAGTGGGAGAACTTGCACAATTGGTGGCTGACTAAATACTTTTCCCCCCCACTGTAGATATTCCATAAAATAAAATAAAATCAGCCATTTCCAGCTACAATAGCCATTTACAACATTAACAATGTCTACACTGTATTTCCGATCAATTTGATGTTATTTTAATGGACAAAAAAAATGCTATAGGGTATACAGAAGATAGCCCTATTTGGTAAAAGACCAAGTCCATATTATGGCAAGATCAGCTCAAATAAGCCCTGTGTAGCTCAGTTGGAAGAGCATGGCATTTGCAATGCCAGGGTTGTGGGTTCGATTCCCACGGGGGGCCAGTATGAAAAATTTATGCACTCACTAACTGTAAGTCGCTCTGGATAAGAGCGTCTGCTAAATGACAAAAAAATTAAAATAATAAAAAAATTAAGCAAAGAGAAACGACAGTCCATCATTACTTTAAAGACATGAAGGTCAGTCAATACGGAACATTTCAAGAACTTTGAAAGTTTCTTCAAGTGCAGTCGCAAAACCATCAAGTGCTATAATGAAACTGGCTCTCATGAGGACCGCCACAGGAATGGAAGACCCAGAGTTACCTCTGCTGCAGCTGCAGAGGATACGTTTATTAGAGTTACCAGCCTCAGAAATTGCAGCCCAAATAAATGCTTCACAGAGATCTAGTCACATACACATCTCTACATCAACTGTTCAGAGGGGACTGTGTGAATCAGACCTTCATGGTCGATTGCTGCAAAGAAACCACTACTAAAGGACACCAATAAGAAGAAGAGACCTGCTTGGGCCCAGAAACACGAGCAATGGACATTAGACTTGTGGAAATGTGTCCTTTGGTCTGGAGTCCAAATTTGAGATTTTTGGTTACAACCGCTGTGTCTTTGTGAGACGCGGTGTGGGTGAATGGAAGATCTCTGCATGTGTAGTTCCCACCGTAAAGCATGGAGGAGGTGGTGTTATGGTGTGGGGGTGCTTTGCTGGTGACACGGTCTGTGATTTATTTAGAATTCAAGGCACACTTAACCAGCATGGCTACCACAGCATTCTGCAGTGATACGCCATCCCACCTGGTTTGGGCTTAGTGGAACTATCATTTGTTTTTCAACAGGACAATGACCCAACACACCTCCAGGCTGTGTAAGGACTATTTGACCAAGAAGGAGAGTGATGGAGTGCTGCATCAGATGACCTGGCCTCCACAATCCCCCGACCTCAACCCAATTGAGATGGTTTGGGATGAGTTGGACCACAGAATGAAGGAAAAGCATCCAACAAGTGCTCAGTATATGTGGGAACTCCTTCAAGACTGTTGGACATTGTGAAGCCGGTTGGACATACTGCCAAATTCTATAAAACGATGTTAGAGGCGGCTTATGGTAGAGAAATTAACATGAAATTATCTGGCAACAGCTCTGGTGGACATTCCTGCAGTCAGCATGCCTATTGCTCGCTCCCTTAACTTGAGACATCTGTGGCATTTTGTTGTTTGACAAAACTGCACATTTTAGAGTGGTCTTTTGTTGTCCCCAGCACAAGGTGCACTTGTGTCTGATCATGCTGTTTAATCAGATTTTTGATATGACACACCAGTCAGGTGGACGGATTATCTTGGCAAAGGAGAAATGCTCACTAACAGGGATGTAAACAAATTAATGCAAAAGTTTGAGAGAAATAAGCTTTTTGTGCGTATGGGAAATTTCTGGGATCTTTTATTTCAGCTCATGAAACATGGGACCAACACTTTACATGTTGCGTTTATATTTTTGTTCAGTGTATTTTAAAATAAGATTATATTTGAGAACTAACAACCACCTAAATAAAAACTACACAGTCAGGGAGAATCAAAAATTTAAAAAAAATGTATGGCATGGGGCCCCCATTGATTTTGTTATAATGTTTGAGTCACTCAGATAGCATAAGAACAAGGCATAAGCCATGGCAAAATGTGTATAATGTGTATAATTGCAGCACATTAGCTTTAAAACTGCACATTTTATCTGGGGCCTGTGTGGTCCAGCGGTTACAGTCGGCATGGGTTCGAATTCAGCCCACTGCCCTTTGACTCTCCCCATCTTCCCAGTCTTTCACACTGTAGTATCTGTTCAATAATGCAAAACATATGAAAGGAGTGGGACTGCCCCACTTATTAAAAAAATAACAATAATTAGCTTTAAAATAGAAACATTTTGACTGCGGCCAAGAGGAGGGCCTCAAACATTTTCGGTCATTTTTGGCCATTCCCACTACCCCCCACCCTCGCTGCTGAAAAAATGTATGCTAGTGGAAACAGATAGTGACACTACTTTCTGTTCACCCGTCAGGGGCTCTCAAAAAAAAAAAAAAATATTTAGAATCTAACTGACTAAAGTAATGATCATCCGTAGGAATCACTAAACAGACTTAACAAAGCAGAGGCAGCCCTCTATGCTCTTTACATGCAGCAGGCACTAACACAGCACTATTTCTAGAAAGTGCTCTGTGGTGAATGATACCTCTACAAATACACACAGATAAATGTCAGGTATCTTTGACAGCCCATCTCTGCCTGGCATCAGTCGGATTTGACTCTGCAATACACATCATATAAAAGCCTTGCCTGTGAAATGTAATTTGGTGTTCACGTCAGTCTTTGAGTCCCTACTAAGGAAAATAGCTGTGCCTAAAACTAAACCAAAACAGAGAGCTTGTTTCAGAAAGGCATATTGCATGCCATGCTTTTTTTCCAATGTCTTGCTGTGATTGTACGTTCAATGTAACTTACAGGTAGTCTTTGAGAAAGAGAGGTTTTAAAATAATGTAGTGTACAGTATCTAGTATAGAACAGTGTGAATGTCAATAAATATCAGTGCTTAGAGCTGCATGGTGCATTTTGTTTGACTGGTGTTGTACTTTTCTCCTCCAACTAGTTTAGTGTATCTTAATATAACAGATACATGAAACACCAAACGCTGGATTAATCTGACACTTGTTGGATTCTCCACAAACAGGCCAGTCTCTGGTTACTGTACTGCTGAGGATTGATTGAATTCAGTCTAAGAACAGCTCGTAAAACACCAGTAGGAAAATGTGTCAAACACAATTCCTCTCCTTCATTCAGGATCTGAACAGTGTGGAAATCAGCATCTTTATCATGCTGGTCTCAATGGTGTCAAAATGTGCTGTAGTTACTAAATTGCTGTGAAGAATTACATTCTCTTGACTGGGACAAAAGCTCTGATGTACCAACGTAACCTGCCACCCCTTTCCATCATGCTGTCCTCTCATTACTTGATCTGTCAGTTAACCCATATTACCCGCACCAAAAGGTAAAAACCCAAAAAAGCAATTCATCCTTCAAAATCTGATTTCTCATTCCATTGAATTAATCCAATATAATTAAATGTGTATGCATCTTTTGTTGACCCCTCTTAGTGTTTTTTAAATTAATTACTACCCTAGTTTTCACCTGTTTCTATTTGCCACCGTCAGCTGCTACTTGGCACCAAGCAAGCTGCCCAACTCCCAAACAATAACATATCAAGTTCCTCTGGTGTATAGATAGATAACAATACAGACCAAGTTCCTCTGGTGTATAGATAGATAACAATACAGACAAACCCAGCACCTGTCCATGTCAATCTGCTCTTTCCAAAGTCAATCAAAGGGAAGCCATTAACAAAACGTATGAAAGTTGATACATTGGACTACAAGTTACACAGAAGTTACACATTACAGCAGGATAAGGTATCTGATTGTAGCTACACTGCAGCATTGTTTCTCTCATAGCCTTTATCAGCTACAATCTAAACTAAATAATAGAACAGAAGGAATATAGCATCACTCACCGTACGCAAGAACTGAATCTCCTCCTCACCGTCTCCTCCTTCTGCCATCCTCTCAAAGTGTTACTGATCACTCCTTGAGCGAGATGGGTAAATGGCTCTCTTTTCTCCCTAACTGTTCCTCAGCCAGCCTTGCTGTCTCTCTCCTCTCACTCCCTGCTCCTGTCTGTGTGTGGGGGCGTACTGAAGGAGAATGTGGGTCCGGTGGCTCTGGATGCGTTATGAGACAGACAGTGACAGTTAACTCCTGCTCAGTGCAACATGACAAGGGGGTGGATCAAACTGTGCCTACAACACAGATATGTATGTTTAAGTGGACAGTTTAGCTAGAAGTCCTATAGGATTGTTGTACAGTATTACCAAATATACCAGTAAACATTTGATGTGTCTGAATCTGATTTAACATAGCTACAATATATGTAAATGACCAAGCTAGACCCAAAACACTTGCATACTAAAGATGGCAGTGTTGTTGCATCAGTCCCAACGGGATTCCCCTTAGTTAGGTCTGCAAAAGAGGTTTGTGAATACAGACGCATTTTAAAACCTTTGTACTTACTAAGTCAGGAGAATGACGTCCACTTCCAAACAATCAGGAAAATACCTCTTATTTTACTAAGAGGGATACACTTATCAGATATGAATTAATAAATCAAAAGGATTTAAACAAATCATTTTATTAAAACTGAAATACATAATAAATTAAGCAAATTAAATATAGTCTGAAATACGTAAAATGCAACTTCGGACACAATAATAACAGAACATAACAGAGACTAATAAAACAACCGCATGAAAGCATCATAAAATAAAAGTTTGAGGATATCAGAACTTGGCACAATTAAATCAAGCAACAGATGCCATTCTTTGTGTGTGGTTTTATTTTCCCATTTCAAACCCTAATACTCAAAACCAAAGCGCTACAAACTAATAACCACTTTGTATGTCCTGTACCTGTCAGATCTGCAGAGGGTCTCCTGTGGCCATGCTAATATCATGTATAGGCCAGCGGGGAGAGTCTATGTAGCGTCTCCTGGTGGACGGGTGCCTGAACTGCAAGGCTGGTGGTGGAGATAATTCCACTGGGAGAGAACACCCATCCCTCTCACTGACCCCCATGTCGATCTCTATAAAGTCAAAAGCCGTCACAGAGGAAGGGGAGCAGTTAGCCACCAAGGGATCAGTGTAGAGTTCAGTTGATGATGTTCTGTCTATCGGTGTGTAAGAGGGTATAATGGGACTGGGAGAGCATGTTTCTGTTTGAGAGAGAGGAGGGGTTAGAGGAGAAGGGAGGGGAAGTTTGACATCAGTAGTTTGGGGCTTCTGCTGTAGGGGGGCCATGGTCTGAGGTAGAACATCTAAGATCGTGTCTGTCTGAGACGGTCTATCCAACTGCATTGGAACTGTAATGTCTTGCCCTTGCTCCTCCTTTGGTTCACATATATTCAAGTGCATCTCCAGCAGGTCGTGCAGACCTGACTCTGTGCATTGTTCCTCCAACCGTTTCAGTTGGCTTTCCCTGAGATGCCATTGTGATTTGTTAAATTGCCTTTGGCGAGATTCCTGGTTCTGTTTCGGATTTAGTGATGGAGGAGTATACAAATACTGGAGGGTTTGCAAGGGGTTATCCTGTTGTAGTTGAGGACCTGGTGTATGTTGGATTTCATTCTGCCCCTCTTGGGTAAATTGATAAAGAGTTGGCTCTGGTGGTGGACATAGAACTGGCTCACTGGGGCTTTGAAAAACCCCTGGTTCATCTTGCTGATTCTTAGAAGCTTGTCTTGACAAAGATCCGGGAACACCATCGTGACTGATGGAGCGCCCAAAGCGCCGTGCTCCCTGCCGACGCAGACGTCCAACGCTCCTCTGACCCCCCTCCCGCTGACTCTCACGCAGGACATCGTTGAGCTGGGGTTCAGGGGGCGGGGGAGGAACCCTGGGGGTACGGAGCAGCGTTGCCAGAGCGTTGAAACGCCCGAGGTGCTCTGCTAAAGACATGCGCTGGTGTGTCCTCTTAAAACCCAGTCCTGACTCTGTCATCTTCTCTTTCTTCACCAACGCTTTTTCCTCCAACTCTTCTGCTTCATCCATTCCTTTACACAGACCTTCATCCACTACGGTTCTGGTTCTGGCTGGTTGGGGTTCCGCCACCATAACCCAGGTGTCCTCAAAGACTGGATCTTCTTTCTCCTTCTTGTCCATTTCATCTTCAATCCTCAGTTGGTCCAATGTCACCTCTGGCATACTGATGGAGCGACGAGGGCGACGGGGCTTCTGACCGACCCTGCCAGACATATCCACTTTTGACAGCTTTTTACTTAGACCGATCTCTTCCGGTTCCTCTTTCATCCCAACCTGCTCCAGACCCCACAATACACTGTTAGTTTCATACTGTCTAACTGTTTCCTCTATTGTCTCATTTTCCAACTTGAGCTCAGAGCATTCACATGATTCCCCATCTTCTGTCCCGGTAGGCGAGTCCAATGTCGCGAGATCCAGGAAGTCATCAACATTTTCAGTGAAGCTGTAGTTCAGCAGATCGGGTTCATCCTCCATCTCATTCCCCACTAGAACTGAATACAGATAAAATGTCACATTGAGTATTTAAGTGAGTAACATGTGGATACATGGTATTTTCCTACTAGCACTTACTTTGCTGATAACTTCTTTGTTGAGGAAAAATGTACTTACTACAACTGTGAGTCGCTCTGGATAAGAGCGTCTGCTAAATGACTAAAATGTCAATGTAATGGCCAATTTAAAAAAAACTATCCAAACCTCGTCCAGGGCCATCAATAATTTTGACAGGAATCCTGTACGGTCCAACCTCAGAGCTGGATGCTTCAGTCATACCATCAGATAACGTCCTACTGCCATTGATCCAATTCTCAGTGTCATTCCCAATGGATGTGGGGGAAGGGTTCTGTGAATAAAGTCACAGAGAAGTCAAACAATAGAGTGGCCTGTCAAAAGACAAACGTGAGCTATGCGAAGACCCAGTGTTAGGACAGAAGAGTGAAGAGCGCCAGACTTACAGGGCTGCTCCAGCTTGGCATGTTGAAGAATCTGAGAGATCTCCTTCGATGAGCCTTGTCCTCTTGCACCGGATGCCTTCAGGAAAGATACACACACAGTTTGTCACCTCATCAGCCACAAAAACAAGGCAATAGACAAACAAGGGTTCAATATAAGATGCTTATGATACTTAAGATTTACTTGTTTGATGTTTTATGATCTTTTTTGTGATTCCTCTTCTTCTCTGAGGCACTGAGAGTGACAGACAGCTCCTGCTCTCTAGTGCCCTCCAATACACTCAGGACAGAGGTGCGAGTACTGGAAGGGCTTTTGCCGATTGCCGACTCCGAATCTACTCGGACAGTCAAAACATAGAACTTGTCATACCCTATCTTATTCGACTGACATAAAGCTATACTGCAGTACAGGCTACAAATACGTCACCATTTGAGTGTAGTTTGCTGATGGATTGGTTGTCTTCTCTAAGGTCATGGATAGAGCGTCTGTATACAGAGAATGATGGTATTAGCTCCATGTAAAGCATTTAAAACAGAATCTTTAAGGTGGTTCATCTATATATATTTATTTTATAAGTACCTTTTTTTAGCAGAGCCCTCTACATCAGGGACAGTATCTTCGGTCGATTTTCGTTTGGATGTGACTGGTGATTGAAGTGTGGTGTGGTGAGCTGTCTTTGTATTTTGCTGGCCTGTGAGGTCAAGGTTATAAAGTCAGGGACAACACACCTATTGGCTATTACTGACGACTAGATCATTTCAGCATGACTTTTTACTAAAAGCATCGGAACTATGCAACCAGTTATTAAGCAGCAAAAATAATATCTTTACCACAACATTATGCACGTACTGTCTGGGGGATGTGAAGGGCCAGTGTGTGTGCGTCCTGTCTTGAATTTACTGAGAGCATCCACAAATATCTCTGGAGAGATCAAGCAAAAAAAAAAAAAACTGAATTCATGAATTAACAGCAGCGTATTCTTAAATTATTTTCACAGCATGAACCTCATAACCCCATCATTGCAAAACTCTCACCTCCAACACTGCGCCTCCTTTGACGCCTTAAACTTCTATACACACCAAGTCCTGCCCTCTCCTGAAACCTCCCCCCGTCAACTGGGGGTGTGGTGGATTCACCCGACTCTGCTACTGTTGCCATGTCCATAACAGAAGAGGGAACGACACCTTATGGACGTACAGAGGATTGAAATCAGTGTCAACATTAAATCAAACACCCGTCATCAGCTACTATACAAACACAAATGTATAGTTCTCAGAACTTACCAATATGATCTGCATGTATTATGAGTGTCTTGATCACTGCTGCTTGTCTATTCAGTTGTCTCTCTGTGCCTGTGGTCAGTTTAGAGCCCCCAGCTGGACAATGTAGCAGATTAGGTGCAATCACAAGGGCCAGATTGCCCACTTCCATACGATTCTCTTCACATCTTGTGAAAGCGAGGGATTGGAGATGGAGAAACTTAGTGGAGAATGGAGGAACAATGCAGATGAAAGGAAAAGTAATCATGAATTTCCGGAGACAAACCTTTGAGCCGTCTGTCTCAGGAAGGTGCAGAAGTATCGGAGGGCCCGTGAATGAGAAAGAGGGAACAGGGCTGTAAGAAGAAGAGTGACTCCATCTTTGCCCTGCTCCTGGCCCCCCTGCTCCTCTAAGCCCTGTGCACGGCACAGTGGCACCTGTAGATCCATAGGGATGAGAGGAGAGGGCAACTCCCGTAAGAACTGCTTCACAAGAGACGCCACATCACAGGACTGCAGAGTGGCTGAATGTGGCAGAGAAAAGACTGGCTCCCCCTGCTCCAGGCCAGCCTATTATGAGGTAGATGGTCAACATAAAAAAGATACTCATTGGGGTAAGAAAGTGGATTTTCCTGCACATCTCTCCTGTGCAGTCTTACCTTCAGAGCTCGGATCCGACTCAACGACCCCGTCTTTCGAAACAGCCCTTCAGTATGAAGATGCTGGGATAAAAATTCACAGGCGTCCACCAAGAACCTAAGTTGGAATAGTTAGATCACTCAAATGTAAGTTTGTCATGACCAGTTGTTCATTGTAACCAGAATATATTTGATTTTAAACAAATCGCATCTCCCAATTTGATTGTATTTAAAGCAAAAGTACAACTCAAGTTGACATACTTTGGCACTGTCCCACTCATATCAGTTAAATGGCACTGGGGCAGCAAGGTCAGCTCCCGACCAAAGGCAAATTTAGATTGGTTCTCCTGAAAGACATCCATCTACAGATCATAGAGGTACTATAAATGCTTTCTACAACAATCACTCAACATTGGTCGTTTGCAAATTATGATTAATACATTTGAATATTCCAAAAATGTGACCTTGGGAGTAATCATCAACAAATAATCAACAAGTCTAAGGTGGCGCAGCATTGTGTGTGTTGACAATAAACTTGATTGAAGCATTGAGGTTAACCGTTCAGGGAACATTTTGTCAATGTTTGTTACCGGTCTGACAGGGTCGCTCGTGTACTGCCCATTGAAGAAGTTCTTCCAATTTTTCACGCGAACTCCAGATGCTTTCAAAGCATGCATCACGGCCACTACGCGCAGACGGTCGTCCATGGGGTTTGGCATTGGTAGATCCAGTTAGGCTGTGTTCTTAAAAAATGTAAACAGTTTAAAGTCGTGGCCTTGGAAAACTACATCGCTATACAAAACCGAGGCTGGGACAAGCTATAGAAACAATTTGCACGAAACTACAATGGACCTCAAATCCATAGACTTTGCGCAAATCACTTACAAAACTTAAATGTGGACAGCTACGTAGAAAAAGTATGAAGCCGATGTTGTAGCACGTCTTTGATCCTCTCATCCCGCCGCCACTGAGGGAATTCGATATCTGGCCCGGGTTACCCCGGTGAGAGGAGTTTGTAGTGGGTAAAAAGCATTCGTTTTGGAACGGGGCTGCCTACCGGGTATGAGCCAGGTGCCGCGTTCAAATCCCACGGCGAAGTCGGCTCAAACAGAGAGGAAGAGGCGAAGCAAGAGGGATAACTGGGCCCAAAATCTGTTTTATCCAGCAGGTGGCGTGTTTTCGTTTTTGAATGGAGGTCAATGAGTGTCGAATTTGGTTAACACTTTCTTTTTATGGCTTATTTGCTACTTGTGGTTTATTTGATCGAGTAGAAGTTTCGTAATGCTTAGGTTGTAATGAGTGTACTGATATAAGTAGGACACGTGACATCCCGGCAACTTTGAAAAACCCCACTTTATATCGAAGTTGTTCCTGTTGTTCACAGGTTTATCTGCCCTCTCATTTGCTAGATTAGAACGGTCCCACCTGATCTTGCCTTCCATTTTTTAAGACATTTATTTTCATTGTTAGAGCGCCCATTTACTGGTCAATATAATGGATACTCGGTGGCTCAAAACAAAAGTGATGTAGCCTAGGCTAGAGTAAGCACCTGGAGTATTGAGTACGATTCTGTTTACATATGAAAAAGCGCTTTTCATAAAAACGCTTAATCTTCCATCCCAATGAAAACGAGTTTAGACATGTTTTTACATATTTTATGGAAAATATGTTTTATGTTTCTGGACAATGCACCATGCTGCCTTGTTGACAACATGATAAAGCGGTGCAGGTTACTGTTAGATTTGAGCAGGGCGCTCCTCCCTCACCGCTTTTGCTTGTTCAGATCACAGGCCATAGACTGGTGCACCGTGACTCAGGTTAATAGAGCTCCCTCAATGCTGTATATAAACCCTGGATTGCTGATGCTATGTATTGGCCAATGAGAGGCTTTGAAGTTGGCAATCCTCAATTATACCTAAATATAGTTTAATTTTCCCTTTAAGGCAGTGTTTCCCAACTCCAGTCCTTGATTACCCCCAACAGTACACATTTTTATTGTAACCCCAGACAAGCACACCTGATTCAACTTGTCAACTAATCATCAAGCCCTCAGTGAGTTGAATCAGGTGAGTTTGTCTGGGGCTACAACAGAAATGTGTGCTGTCGGGTGAACTCGAGGACTGGAGTTGGGAAACACTGCATTAAGGTGTCTAATAGAATATTAGTATGGGTGGTCCTCTGTAGCTCAATTGGTAGAGCATGGCGCTTGTAACGCCAGGGTAGTGGGTTTGATCCCCGGGACCACCCATATGTAAAAATGTATGCGCACATGACTGTAAATCGCTTTGAATAAAAGCATCTGCTAAATGGCATATTATTATATTATTTATAATTGTGGCATAAACAAATGTAGACATTTATAAATGCATTTCTATAGCTTCCCAAATATTTGTTACAACGGTGGGAGAGTGCCAAGATGGAGGCATGGTGGCTTCAACACAGTACCCAGTCTGTCATCTAGTGTATATATAAATTATTGGTCTGTACTGAAGTCACAAATATAGTTTGAAATGGTCAGTGCATAATGGTACATGATGGAAAATAAACTTTAATGTATAGTTGCTCATCCATGGTTATGTTTCATCCTCATACCCGCCATACAGGACTATGACATCTGACATCTATATCCTTGTTGTTTTCTCATGATGACCAAACAAAACAAGACAAAAGTACAAGGAAGTACTTAAGGCTTTATTTAAACAGATACAGTTTGATTACTTCGATATCGTTTGAGAAATGTCAATCAAACTAATAGACTCTACAGGTTTCTAACATAAGCAATATATTTAATTATTTTTTAAAATACAATAATTTTTGTCCCCCAAAACAATATCACAAAAATCGATTATAGCCTATCCTTATTAACATACTTCAATCATAGTTCTTCAATTTAATTGAAATTCCACATTCAAATCAACACATTTTGTTTATGAATTTGACTTTTAGCAAAATGTCAGGACTCCACTTTTGTGGATCTGCAAAAATTATATTAATGTTAAACAAAATGTATTTTGATATTCAAATCTCCCCTCTTGTGGGTTTGTCTTTATCTCCATTTTGACCCATTATGTCGTGTCATTTCCTTCAGACGACCTATTGTTACTCTCGTTTGTTTCTCTTTTTCCCAGAAAAGTTATGTCGTTGCTGACCGCCCCCTCCGCGTGGCCCTCCACGTCCACGTCCTCCTCCACGCCCCCTCCCTCCTCCCTCTCTCCGTCCCTCCCACATGGGCATGGGGGCCTCAATTTCTCCTGGCCGTCCACCCCGGTCTGGTACACTGCCCATCAATACCTTCACAGAGACAGAGGAGAAGACAGATGAATCAGAATAGTTCATCTCTTTAACTTCATAAAAAAAAAAAATCTAACAAAACTCAGAGCTAGTTAGCTATAGCATACCTTGTAGACTGCAGTGCTTTCCCCTGCCTTTACTGGTAAAATGTAAGATTGATCTTTTCTTGCTGCAAGCAGAAGAGACACGGAGACTTGGGATACGAGGGGAAGTGATGAGAGGGGAGGTATTGAGGCAAGCACTTCACTGCGCTCCTGTGGAGAACATGGAAACAGGTTTACCATTAATATACATGTATCTACGAACAATAAAGGAATATAAAACTAAACAATATATTTTTGCGATCTGTGTTACTGTCAAAAGTCTATATTCATATAAATATGCAAAAAGTGAACTCTGACTTACACAGATTGTCATCCTCATTTTCTTGCTGACTGTGGAACTACACTTCCTGGTTCTGACTTCATCGCTGCGCCCTCTGTAAATGCTCACTGAATGCAAAAAGTTCAGTTGCTCATCACACCTCTTCACACTTCATGTCACCATGGTGAAACTCTCAGTCCTCTTCCTTGATTTTACATCTGAGGACTTCAACGTTTTGCTCCTGACTGACATGCCTTAACTTGCTGTTCCCTGCAAAAATTCTCCCTCTCAAGATCCTCTGTCTGACCCTTTTCAATGAAAACCTGTCATCTGGTATCCAGGGGGGGGGGGGGGGGGGACATTCCGCCCATGCAAGAAAAGGGCATGTTTAAGTTATTTTTGTTATATACTGTAATATTTTTTGGTGGAGTACAACTGTGGATTCTTGCAACTCCAGACAATTTTTATATTGGACTTATTCTGGAGACCCAGGTCTGATTGAATATGGTCCTTAGGAGTTGGAGATCTTATCACACTACCATATCTAGCAGATATGATCCAAAGGTCAGCACTGGCAACGCCTTATAGAGTATAGACTGTTCGACATGGGGTGCAGCTTGCTCCCTGAAGCTGTGCAGATAGGAACAAAGTCCATTTCTGTGCTGTGCACATGACTGCTAGTTCTGCTCGACGTGGCCTTGCGTCCCATTGACTACAATTAAATATTTGCACTCTAGTGCTTTTAATGTGGACATACATTGAGTGTACCATTTTGTACACCCACTATCGATTTAGCCTGCATATCAAGTAACTTTTCGTAGAGAGGCATTGTTGCATACCTTTTCCTTCTCTCCCCAGGCAAAGGACTGAAGTGTGACCTGAAAACGTTTGATCATCATTTGGCGTCGACACTGGTAGTCCTCTAATAGAGCCTGATTTATCTTCTGGACTTGCCTCTAAATGGGTGGAAAAACCGACAGAGAAATTAATAACCTGGTGAACAAATAAGGCTACAAATACACTGAACATTCTTCAGCACTCTCATGAGGAAAACCACCCCCTCCTTTGAAAACCTACCCATTGCGCAGAGTTGAGATTGGTGTCCAGCAGAGGTTCTGTCATATCGCCACACGGCAATACCGCAAGACGTGACTCCACCTGAATAGTAAAGCGTGAGAGAGAAGTGTGCACTGTATCAACAACAAAATTCTGCAGACACTTTTCATATCACATTCCTGTCGGAGTCCATCTCATCCTTACCTGATGGCACACATCTGTAAGCCGAGAAGACTCATCCATGTTTAAGGTTTGAAGCAACAGAGCCAATTCACTCTCTGTTTCTTCCTTCCTGTCCCCTTGTTCCATCTCCTGGCCATCTTCATATTCTTGACACCAGTTCTTTTTATCGACAATGCTGGGATCTTCCGCTCTCTGCTCTTTCTCAGATTTACCTTCAATCTTCTCATCCTCTGGATGTAATTCTTTCTGTTGAAGTATGCGTGCTGCTTGTAATTCTGACACCATGAACTCTGCAAATAAGACCATAAGGACAATAGCATCAACAATACAAACTCATATCATTCACTTCAACATTTTATTGACATTTCAAGAACTCCCACCTGCCTAATCTCTCTCACCAGTGACTCTGTTGAGGAGAGGAGGACTCAGTGTATCTGTGGTCAGTGCAGCGTAGGGACAAAGTAACTCGGTCAGCAGGGTCCGCAACTCCCCCACTAGGACAACACCAGTCTTTCTGTCTGTGTATGTGACAATAAAACATCAAAATATATATATTATGTGGTCTGTATGTGCACCTGCTAGTTGCTACCCTTGTATAATGTACAATTGCATGATTACTTAGTTGTAATGTCATACCCTGTAACTCTGAGCAGACAGCCCTCAATTCTGACGCCAGCCAAGTGAGCAGCGGACAAGGAAGCTCATCACACCTGCACCGTCTGACACAGACACTGCTTGTGTACCTGACATAATGTTAAAGTAATGACCGAGATCAACCAACACGTGTAATAGCTAGATAGATAGATAGTTAAGGTTCAGAAAACACACCGTAGCGAAATCATACTTATGAAACTGAGCCTCTCAGCGACTAGCTAAGTTACTTTTGTGCTGTTTACTTGTCTACCCCATCTGGCACGTGCAGTACGACATCTCTTAGCTAGATAGCAGACATTATCTAATCAGTTTTCAAAGTACACGTACATACTCACCCAACAGCCCTTATAGCATATATTGTTCCTATATCTCTCTCCATTATAGACTCAATAGAACACATCCAAACATGTAGCTATTCTCAAATGTTTGGTTAAAAAGTTGCAGAAGCTCTGTCCTTCCGGTTTCCGTTTGTCTACGGTGGATTTAAGGCAAGGTTAATAGATCGACAATCCACTTTGATGCATCGATGCGAATGTCATATTTTATCAATCACAACACATTACAGGACATATGCATTGATGAAATAGCCAGCGTAGCTGTTAATTTCTGTATGTAAATTGCAATCATTCCTGTGCATTGGGAAATGTTTGCTCATAATATCTGTTGCCTGAAGGTGTTATTCTGCACCACTAGATGTGTTACTCCTTTACACTGTGCATTTAAAACAGGTTTCAAAGGTTAGAACCACAGATGAAAGGGGTTAATTATCAGTATCTTTGTTGTTATAGCCATGTGGGTCCTCTAATGATCCATAATTAAAATCTGAACTTGTGACCAGTACTCAAGAAACAAGACAGAAAAAAAAAACTAGAGACAAAGTAAGTCTTCAGATTTTATTCTCAAATACAAAAAGAGTACGTTTTGATTTAACACAGAACCACATGCAGATACTGTTTTACATACATGGTATATGGTATAAAAAAGTTTTACAACCACACATGAAACTAGTTAATGATCACAAAGAAAAACTAGTTGGAGGGACCACCACTGTTACAGAACGTTTTAAATGGTGTGAAACAAATGTTGGTAAATGTTGTTTTACAAGCTCTCTTTATACAGGTTATAGAAAAAAGTAATCAAAATGTTTGTCTTCAAGACTTCAATTTCAATAAATATGGGCAAAACATTAATGGATTAAATCAAAACCGCAACAGTTGAAGATACATTTTCTTTTGTATATATATAATTAGTCCAGACTCTACACCAATTTCTTTAAAATGTATGGTTCTTTGATCTAACATCTAAAACTAAAAATGAAGCGTAAACAGCAAAATATTAAAACAAAAAGTTGTCCTACAATCTTCCATCTCTCTTAAAAACACATTGAAATGTACACATGCAAATCCCAGCTATCTTTTATGAGCTCTAATAAACATTCACTGCACAACACTGTAAAGTGCACTACATTTGCATGTTAAACTACACCACTGTTGCTCATTTCAAATAGCCAGGGTCTACAAAACAGGCAAGACAAATAAGATGAATGTTACTAAATGGTTGCAGGACCTACTGCAAAAACAACACTAATGTTGTGGCGTAGCATGAAAAAAATTAAATCCTATACCAAAAAGGCAGGGAGGAAAAACCACTAGACCCTTAAAGAAAACCTTGAAAATGTTAGCTATAAGAAAGGGAAGACAAATTATTAAGGAGATGATGGATAAGGACGAAAAGACAGGTGTAGCCTGCAGGCAGGATAAGCAATGGAATGCTGCTAAGGGAATGGATCCGTCTCATCAGTGCACTACTGTAGGCCTACTGCGTGCCCTGGGAGCCCTGAGAACCCTGGCTGTAGTTGCCATAGTTGCCGTATTGGCTGTAGTACTGATTCCATTGGCTCTGGTTCTGGTAATACTGCTGCCACTGCTGTGCATACTGGATCAAAGAGAGACGGAAAGAGAGCAAGACATTATGAACAGAGTTTTAGACAGGTGACACGTTAACATGATATATGGGCCAACCTAAGAAACTAGCTAGTCACCTGTTGATACTGCTGGTTGTAGTTCTGCTGCTGCTGGCTGTAGGTCTGTCCAGTGGCGGCAGGAGCAGCAGCAGCTGCGGCAGGAGCAGCAGGAGTTTGGCTGTAGCTCTGGCTGTAACCTGGGTACTGGCTGTAGCTGCCGTAGTTGTAACCCTGGTTGTAGTTGCCTTGATTGTAGCCCTGATTGTAGCCCTGATTGTATGTCTGTGGCTACAAATTAACACATACAATGTCAGAAAGTTTGAAGGACTGGTGAAGAGTTGAGAGGAACAATTCCAGAGGGAGAACCACATGTAAGGAGATGCCATTAAAGGGAAATGTCAACATATGTTAAAATTGTGCGTTTCTATGTTTTGTTGTAAAAAAAGGAGGAAGATAAGTGTTTCCAATGACATCAAGAGTGTGCGTCGGCATTGCCTACTAATTGGTTGATGATGTCATTGGAAACACTTGTCTTTATCCGTTTTACTACAAAACATAGAAACACGCCATTTTCACATATGTTGATGTTGGGGTGGTACTGGAGACGAATATGAAGTTGAAAAATGTGTGAAGTTTCCCTTTAAAAATAAAGTAACCAATATATTAGTCAGCTTACCTGTCCTTGGCTGTAACTGCCAGTGGCTCCCTTGTTATATTGTCCTTGGCGGTGCTGATTGTAGCTCCCTCCAGACTGCTGGTTGCGGTTGTAGCCATGTTGTCCTCCTGCTGCACCATCACGGTTGCCCCCCCAACGGTTCTGCTGGTAGCCTCCACGGTTATAGCCTGTAATGTGTAAAGGGCAGGAAGTTAAGTAGGCTCACAACACAAATTTAGAAAAACAAACAGTTGAGCAGAAACCTTGCTCCTCACCTCCTCTGAAGTTGCCACCTTGGGGTCCACCACGACTCTGATAGCCTCCCCTTCCTCCTTGGGAGCCACCACGGTTGTCATAGCGCTGATAAGGTGCATCGCGACCACGGAAACCTCCTTGGCGGTTGTCAAAGCGTTTGTCTGGGGGTGGGCCGGCCTTGCGGCCCTCCTCGTTGTACTGCTTCACCAGCGTGTCAGCCTCTTCTTTTTGCAGCTCGATGAAGGTCACGTTGTCAAGAAACTCACCAGCTTCTGGGAGCACAAAGTTGGCTACAGGAAGCAGAGTGGTTGGACGTTGTCAGGACGAGTATAGCGGTGCCGCCGAAAGACAAAGAAAATCATTATTACTATCTGATAGACAATACTAGGAAGGGGTAGGAAGGGAAAAGAGGGACGTGGGGGAGAATACATGTTAGGTGAGAGAGTGGAGTTGCACCAGAATTGGAGCAAAACATTACCTCAAGGGACAGGGGAGAATTTGCTCCAGTTTAGGCAGGTAAAGGAAATGGAGGAGAAAATAAAATAGCAAAACTAAGGAGAATTATGAATATGTAGATAGGGGAAAGTTTGCAACTGCAAAGCATAGCCTATGGACGTATGTATGTCCTCAGTTTTTAAGTGATAAATGTTGAATATTTCACTCCTTTGGTACTGGAAATTGCACTGCCAATGGTTTTGTTTAAAATTTCAATTGATAATCTATTAAAATCTCATCCTTCAAGGGTCAGAATCAAAACCAACACTTGAAATGGATGTCACCCTGAGTTTGCAGTGCTAAATAGATGAACGACAAGTATGACAGAAATGGTTCAGATAAGAGAATGAAGGATGATAGAGGGGGAAATAGTGGGAATAGCTCTTTGAGGGGGATGGGGGACGGTTGGGATCTTCCAAGTTTCCATAAAATAAAAAAAACATACGAAATGCATTGTCTTTGTGTTTTTAAATTTTGTTATCCATGGAATTCCTACCTTTCATTTCTAATACGGCATGATCGGGCACATCCTTCCCTTCCTCATCAGTTCGCTTTAACGTTCGCTCTTTTAAATCCTCGTCCGTGGGACAAATTACAATAGCCTTGCGTTGAAAACCTTCAAAAGGACGCATTTTTCGTCTCTGGGCTGATCCATATACATTTGTCTAGCAAAGTTGACAAGAAAGAAGTAGAAGCTGTTCATTATTGTTCACTTGTCTGGTTTTGATACAGCTTTGCGTTCCATAGGAGGGAAATTGGATTCCTGCAATGATGAAAGTGAGAGTTTTTTTTTTTTTTCATGCCTATATTTACTGTTCTGGAACTACATATGGTTGTCTCTCACAACCCCACAACTTACCGTTGTGTCTGGAATGCATTTCCTGTGAGAAAGAACTTTGGGGACCCATGTTAGCTATCTATTGGGTTAATTCTTGCAAGTTCTCAACTGGTCAACGTTTCCAATGAAGAACTAAGAACATTAGCTACTTAATGCAAAATACTACATTACAAAAGAATAGTAGCATCTTTCAAATCTGTTCCAAAAATCTGTTCCATCTTTGAATCTATTTTTGCCATATTGACAGCACACTCTTACAAGCTTGAGCAAATAGATGAATGTTCCTGTGAATCCCTTCTTCCACACATCTCACATTCACTTCCATAAAATTAACAGAAGAAAAACATCTGTAAAATCAATTGAATCCTCTCCAGATAAACCCTTTTAGGGCAATCAATGTACTGTTTTTCAAACTATTCTCTGCACTGTCATTGATTTAATGTACCTCGCTGAATAAACCAACAATGAATAGTTTATAAAGCTGCGTAATATCTTGCCTACAATAACAGGGTCCCCCTTATTTACTTACCACAACTTACCTGTTTGTCAATAGTCCATCTGTCATGACAATAACAACAGACACTACCTACCTTTCAATACTCACTTACTCCATGGCATCCATTAGAATGTCCAAGACCTTACCTACCTTGAGTAACTGGAGCAAATGCCCTGAAAATTCAAACATGTTAGTTTTCACTTACCTTAATGTTTTATTCATTTTACATACAACATTCAAAAGTTCCATATGCTGTCTGTACGTATAAATCAGCTATCTTACATCAAAGGTGATGTGAGTTTGAACTTGAACTAATCTTACAGTTAACGAACAACAGAAGGTGTATTTCTTACTCACCACCCGGCAGTGTTTACTTGTTTTTCAACATCTTATTATAGACATGGACTATTTGTACAGCTTAGAGCTCTTTTTCAACAGGACATACGGAGAGGAAATAACAAATATTGAGTAAAAACATACAAATGTCAATACTGCTTTCATTCAAGCAAAACAGAAATAATGATTTCAGCAGCATGTTCAGGACAATGAAAAGTGTGATAACTTCCAGGAGTTCGGATGTTGATCAAGGCTTCTACACTAGAGAGACAGTATATCAAAGAGTGCATTAATGGACATGTGCATCAGTGAACAGCAGTGGGCGGGAGGTTGAGGACATTAACATAGTATGGGGTGAGAAATCAGACAGTAGATACCTGATCCAGGATGTAGTTACGCTTCTTGCGGGCAGCGATCTGGATCAATCTGTTCAGACACTGTGTGGCCTGCTGGATCAGGACATCCCAGCGACCAGCATAGTTCTTCTGACGACGCAGTCCCATCACCTGAGGGTGGAGGTTTTCATTACGTCAGAGGGGAACTTGACACTAAAGACCAAGACTGAAGGAGTCTGTGTTCAAACAAAGATAACGGACCTTCATCTTCTCCATTATGGCGTTGGTGCCCAGGATGTTGTATTTCTTTGCAGGGTGCTCCGTCGCGTGCTTCGAGGACCAGGTGGTTTTCCCAGATGCAGGTAGGCCAACCATCATCAAGAGCTGAGGTAAAAACAAGAGAGCCAAACATGAGGAATTAGTCCTGGCATCTCACAGCTACTGACAACAGAAGCAATCTAGTCTAATGATCCAAATCAACAATCCACTCAATGATCCAACATGGCTGCCACTCACCTCACAGTCAGCCTTGGTTGCAGGCCCAACTGTTCCCCGTATCCTGTTTTCCAGAGGGACGTTCTGAATGAAGGTGTATCCCTCGGGCAGGGGGAAGAAGGGCTCCTCTTTCTGGCCAAAGTTGAATTCAATTGCACAGTTCTTCACAAGAACATGGGGAAAGAGTGGCCGTTTAGCCAACTCCTCCTGTGACACACGGAAGGCCACATCCAGCCACTTGCCGTTCTTTGAGAAGGCCATCTCCACTTCATCACCGCTATCGAAGTTCTGAACAAGACATGGAGAGGATATTATTTAGGTTTATTGAGTACTCAGCTTTTATTAGGCAGATGAATCTAAGTTAATCTTCTGTACTATCACAAATACTTACAATGTAGCATCCAAGGACATCGTTTTCACCAAACTTTTCCCCGTAATCCTCGAATTTACAATTTGAAGATTTCTTGCCAGTTCCTCCATAGCCATAAGAGAATTGTTCTTCACCTGGTATAGAGTCAAAAACAAGGAGTTTGTGTGATAGTTTCAAATCGCATAAAATATTTATAATAACAGAATTTTCCAGCTCAAGTACAGAAGCATTTTTTCAAAACTGACCGAGCTGTGTGTTGCAGGTGTCCAGGGACCAGCCTATGCGCACTACATGTGGATCAGGCTCACTGCTGGGAAGGTGCTTCACAGAGATCTCCTCGTTTATCTGGGCAAGAAAACATGCACCAAATTCATATTTACTCAAATCGATGAGACTCCTCAACAGGAAAAGACATCCGTAATATTCCATCTGCAAAGCACATAAGTGAAATGCAACTTAATTTAAACAGGAAATACTCTACCTTCATTTCAAAGCAGACTTGCCCTTTGTTGACGCCATAGGAAGCTCGTGCACCTGACCACAGGTATGCAAAACCTTCTATGGTGAGCGGGTATCCACTATACCGATCACGTGATACCTTGAAGTGCAGATCACAATTATCTGTGAAAAACAAAACCATACCCCCAGAGGTCAATAAATACGTTGTAAATGCACAACTATTGCAATGCACACAATAAACCATTCAACACAAATCCTACTACCATCACAAAACAAACATAGTACTTTCACTTACACGTATCAATAGCCACAAGAGTGTCATCAAAATCTTCTTCCTCTTCCTCTGCTGGGGGTTGTGGAGAACGTGCCCTGTGTGAGCGAGAGCATAGAGCATAAGCTGGGGGTATAGTTCTGAAGAATGTTTTCAAGACACTGTAGTGAAGTAGTTTTCTAACCTGTTCCCCTTAGAAAAGTGTTTCACCACACTTACCTTCTTTCCTCTCGATGTTCATAATAGCCATAGCCACGGCCTTCATCGTATGGCCTCTTACGGTTGCATCGGTCATCCTCCGTTTTGGCTTGGCTCACCTGCTCAGCCTCCATGGCTTCGCATTCATTGGCAGCATCTGGAAGCTGTGCCTCTGGCTGCTTTGGCTCCTTCTTCAACTGCTCCTGCTGCAGAGGTTCATCTGCCTCCTTTTTCAACTCTGCTTTCATCAAAAACTCATCTGCATCAAAGAGGTCAATGTTGCCAATAATTACTGCTTGAGCAACAGGGTGAAATAAGAGAATATACAAAGTATTAATCTATTCATTTGAGTTACGTTATTACTGACCTGTCTTAATTTCAGACATCTCCACATGCTTTGCTTCAGGCTCAATTGATGCTGGTTCCACTGGTTCAGGTTCCATAGCCTCTGGTTTCACAGGCTCTGGTTGCACAAGTACTGGTTTCACAGGTTCTGGTTGTGGTGGCTCTGGTTCTTCCATCTCTGGTTCTGCTCTATCTGGTTCTAACACCTGTGCCCCATCCCGGCTGTCTTCCTGTGCCCCATCCTGGCTGTCTTCCTGTGCCCCATCCCGGCTGTCTTCCTGTGCCCCATCACGGCTGTCTTCCTGTGCCCCATCACGGCTGTCTTCCTGTGCCCCATCACGGCTGTTTTCCTGCTCCGCATCTTCACTCTGTTCAACATCACCTTTCTCCTCATCAAACTTTTCTTCTTTAGCCTGCGGGACAAACTGTACTTCATCGTCCTCACTATCTTGGTCTTCTTCCCCATCATCTTTAACTAGTATGGAAAACATAGTGTCAGTATCACAAGCTGCTTGATTTACAACTTTGGTATAACAGCAGTTTCATCTGCATGTTACAATTGACAGCCCATCAGTCACGTTGAAACAAACTGTACCCTCCCTTTAAAAACGGCAAATCTGTGAACAACAGTGAACTTGGCTGTACCAATACAATCTTACAACTGTCTACATACACATTGAACCCCCCAATATTTGTTTACCTTCATCTGAGTAGTCAGCGCCGTCTCCGCCAATATCGTGTTCCTCATCCCCCTCCTCACCAACATCGCCAGTCGGTGGCCCGCCCTCTTCACCTGCAGCCTCGGCCTCAAGTGCTGACTGCAACCTTATGACAAGATCCGCCTTCAGCCCACGAGTATCCAGGCCTCGCTGCTGAAGTTCCTCTTTCAGCTCGTTGACTTTGAGCTTCTTCACATTGATTCCACTCATCTTTCATGTAACTTGTTCAGTGATCAGAAATCCCAATCTGTAAGAAATGAGTTTACAGACAAGGAATGTAGTTTAGTAGCCGCCTAGCAGTGGTAACGTTAGCTAGCTACATTAGCCATTTCGTTGCTTTACAAAACCATGCATTGGCATCGCTCCCGTAACAGAAACATAAAATCCACGGCAAAACAACGCCATGGGTCCAAAGCCACCAGTTTTCATAAAACTAGCTAGTTCGTAGTTACATTATAGGCTTTACTACGGTCTTTGTTACGCCGGTGTTGCTTGCCAACTACCGGTAGTTAGCATTAGCAACTAGGCACATTTTTACAGGATAGTCACCAAAGGTCGGACACCAAAACAACTCAGATTCTGAAACGTCATAGCTAGCTAGCCGTATACAAATATATGTGCATGATAGCTAGCGTCGCCACTATTTGTAAATCATGCGAATTTACATTCAAAATACACTCGCGTACATTACTAACCTCTTTCCTCACTCTTTTAATTTCCTTGCTTGATTCATACAGCGACCAACTCAACTGAAACAAAATGGACGATTCTGTTGTAGCCAGAAAAGGTTAGCGCTTGCCGTCTGCTCTGTGATTGGCTAGAGGCCTTGTAGGTAATATTTGAACAACAGTGTTCCAGCTGCTGTGCCTCTCTACGGGCAGCAGAGGAACGTGGAAGGGTTGCTGTTTGTTACAGCGTAATAAAAATAATTGCAAGCAGTTAAATAAAGACATTATTATGTTAGGTCTATGGTTCAGACAGAAATCGGTTGGCTATCAGTACCTTTGGTGTACTGTATTTTTTAGATCCCGACAAGTATTTTTTTCTGTACAGTTTGCATCCCTTTACAAGTTGTATGGGTTTATCTCACGTGTCCTTCTATAGGCTAAAATGTTGCACATAAAAGCATTAATAAAACATCTGTATACAAACATAATACGATAGGTTCAGATGTTTTAAATCCTAGAGATTTGCCAATTTGTCTGGTCAACTTCTCCAGTGAGTAAAAGGGAACTTATAACACCCAACCGTTGTTGCAGCCGAGGGAAGCGTTTGTTGCACAGCTGCATTATTAGTACTTCCAACAAATATGGCGGTGTATTAGCGAAGTTGCGCCCTTATTACTTTGTCACACCAGTGCATATGTTTCCTTTTAATTTATGAATAATAAAGGATCTAATAAGGTAATGTGTTTGCCTAATTTTGTGTTATAATTGTTATCAGTGAAGTTATTTTGCAGGGCTGGTGACGGCTAACGTCCATCACCTAGTTAGCATAGCCGGCTAGTAGCTAACGTTATCTGTTTCTAGCCAAAGTGCGCCAGGGTTTGCTCTTATTTTTCCATCGCATGTAACTAACTAGTAAGTTAAAGTTAATTGAATATGTTATTATTTAATCTCACTATGTTCTCATGTATATTTAGAAGATGGCCTCAAATAACGGAGACAGTGCTGGTGTGAGGACCAGTGTGGCATCACAGTTTTTCAATGAAGACGAGGATACGGCTGTTGTCGATATGACCACAAGTGAAAAGGTATCCCCGAACAACCCTTGAAATGATTTGGTCCATATTGGACTAAAATCGCGTCAAATTATCTATGTTTGATAGTTCCAACATATGTACTTGCTTGTCTGTTCTCAACCCACAGGTTGTTGATCTCCTGAACCAAGCAGCTCTTATTGCTACAGACAGCAAACTCACAGTTCTCAAACAGGTTTGTGATCAGCTCTCTGGCAGGCCAGAATAAGGCCATCAGTAATAAGCTCCTCCAAGAGATCAGATAAGAATGTTAGGACGGCTATACATTCTACACTTTTCTTCAGACCTGTAATATATATAATATTTAAATATCTGTTTTTTCATCATTCAGGTCCAGGAACTGATCATCAACAAGGACCCCTCTTTACTTGACAATTTCTTAGATGTAAGTATGTCGTTTTAACTGTATATTGGTTACCACTAGCTGAGGAACGCTCAGCTCCATTCTCTTGTATCGAGGGTGGAGTTGAGTTTTGATAACTGGTTGCACAATTTGCTAGCAACAACATTGAGTCACTATCAGTCGATACTTGTAAATGTCAATTCTGAAAACGCTTACTTGTACCTATGTTTGTCTTGTATAACTTTTATGAAATACCACTGACTTTTTCCTAATTTGTGTTGCTCAACTGGAGACGTAGCGGCCAAGGCATACTACGTAAGCTGAGATTAAATTGGGAAAGGGGGATACCTAGTCAGTTGTACAACTGAATGCATTCAACTGAAATGTGTCTTCCGCATTTAACCCAACCCCTCTGAATCAGAGAGGTGCGGGGGGCTGCCTTAATCGACATCCACGTCATCGGCGCCCGGGAAACAGTGGGTTAATTGCCTTGCTCAGGGGCAGAACAACAGATTTTTACCTTGTCAGCTCAGGAATTCGATCCAGCAACCTTTCGGTTACTGGCTACCTGCCGCACATGTGCATTCGTGCTGAGTTGTGCAACACAAATGAGGAGAAAGTCATTGGTTGTATTCAATACGTTTTTATTAAAATTATGAATTTCAGCACCCTGCGGTCGGTTGTACAGGACAAACATAGGTACAGGTAAGCTTTTTCAGAATTGTAATTATTACAAGTATTTACTGATGGTGACGTAATGTTGTTGCTAGCAAATCGCGGGACCAACTCCGTCTTGATATAATATAACAAAGTTGAGCGTTCCTCAGCTAGGTTACCACCAGTTGGGTGGTGCGAGCCCTGAATGTTGATTGGCTGAAAGCCGTGATATATCAGACTGTATACCACGGGGATGACAAAACCATTTATTTTTACTACTCTAATTACATTGATAACCAGTTTAGAATAGCAATAAGGCACCTTGGGGTTTTGTGGTATATGGCCAATATACCATGGCTAAGGGCTGTATCCAGGCACTCCGTGTTGCTTCGTGCTTAAGAACAGCCTTGCCTTAGCCATGGTATATTGGCCATATACCACACCCCCTCGGGCCTTATTGCTTAAGTATAAAATGCTCTCTCTCTCATTGTCACCCTGCACCTGTAGGAGATCATAGCCTTTCAGACTGATAAGTCAATGGAAGTAAGAAAGTTTGTCATCGGCTTCATTGAGGAAGCATGGTAAGTGTTGATCTGTCACGCACATATACCTGCTATGAACAGTTAGAATATCAAGTTCACGATAGTCATGTTCAATAAATATGATGTTTTGACCTTGGGTTGTTTTTGTCTCAACAGTAAGAGGGACAACGAGCTCCTGCTAAAACTGATTGCCAACCTGAACATGCTGCTGAAGGACGAAAGTGTCAATGTGGTGAAGAAGGCTATCCTCACACTCACTCAGCTCTACAAAGTGGCGCTGCAGGTACACACACCTTCATGAATCAATGCCTTCTCATTGTTATCCCATTCAACCCATGTGTGTTGCTGTGTGCTGTACTGAGGCTTGTTCTTTTCTATGCCAGTGGTTTGTGCGTTCCAAGACCATGTCAGACATGCAGGAAGCATGCTGGGACATGGTGACTCAGATGAAGGAGGAAGTTCTGGCTATGCTGGAAGTGGACAATGATGGAGTCCGCACACACGCTATCAAGTTCACAGAGTCTCTCATCATCACTCTTTCACCGAGGACGTCAGACTCTGACACTCCCAAGCGCCAAGAGGGAGACATCAGCCTGGATAAAATCTCGAAAGACCATGCCTATATCCGCTACGGTGAGAGGGGATGATTTTCTTTACTGTGACATTTTAAAACTTTACATACATTTTCAGTTGAGTTTTCCCCGATGTGTTGTGCATGAATATAGCATTGCTGTCTCTACATGTCTTGATGCACCTTACACAATGTCTACAATGTCTTCCTAAGATACCCTGTGTGGGGAGGGCAAGTCTGCGCTGGAGCAGCTTCTGAAGTTCATGGTCCACCCTGCTATCTCCAGCATCAACCTGACCACCGCACTGGGTTCCCTGGCCACACTGGCCCGACAGAGGCCTATGTTTATGTCTGAAGTGGTCCAGGCTTATGAGACTCTGCATGGTCAGTATGGTACTACAGTGAGATTAAACACAAGATCACAAGCTTATGTGTATGATACCTGAAGCAAGGTTTTTAATCAATGCCCTAGAAAATGATCTTGGTCTCCTATTTTGAGTACTTAATCTGATTTTGAATAAGTGGTGAACTGGCTGGAGGGGAAGTTCAGTATAATTAAATCATTTTTCACTTGTTTTTGTAGCCAACCTACCCCCAACGCTGGCCAAGTCTCAGGTAAGCAGTGTACGCAAGAATCTGAAGTTACACCTGATGGCAGTGCTCAAGCACCCCTGCAGCCTGGAGTTCCAGGGCCAAATCAGCACTCTGCTCCTAGACCTGGGGATGTCCCAGAATGAAATAACCCGCAACACACCAGCCCCACGTGAACCGCGCAAAAGGCCCCGCCATGAGCCCTACACAGAGGGAAAAAAGCTCAAGATTGGTTAGTTGTAAAGATATTGCACCGGTTACTATTTAGACTGATGACCTTTTTTGTAACACTTTTTTTATTTTTTTAAATAGAAGTACCTAGTTGACTCCCACACCCCTGAATCAACCTGCGGTTCCATATCATGCTAGATCTCTAATGTAATGTGGTCTTACTTTCAGAGCCCGCTCTTATAGAAGACGATGAAGATAAAGAAGAGCCGGCCGCCCCTTCCGTCCCAAAGCCTTCCTCTGTGCCAGTAGCACAGTCAGCCATCCACCTCACGGCGGAGTTCCTTCGCCCCCTGCTCTCCCCAGAGAACGTGGCCAATCTGGTAAGCTGCTGTGGTAGACTGATTTCTTCTTCTTTTTTTTTACACCCGGAGGATGTGAAGGCCATTCTCATGTTTGTGTTGCTTTTTCACATACAGGTTCTAATCAGCATGGTGTACTTGCCTGATGTCATGCCAGCATCCTTCCAGGCCACTTACACACCAGTGGAGTCTGCAGGAACAGATGCCCAAATCAAACACTTGGCCAGAATGATGGCCACTCAGATGACAGCAGCTGGAGTTGGACCAGGTTAGAAAGAGAGGGAAGGGGCTAGAACAAGGAAATAAAGATAGCAAAATGAGTGAGCACAATGGGCCACCCAATTCACAGATTTCAAAGATAGAAATTCTGATTTCTGAAAATCTGTGTTCTCCATTCTAATAAAAGCTGCTTCAAACTATCCCTTAGGACTGGAGCAGTGCAAAGCACGAGATGAGAAAGCTGGGAAGGAGGAGGGCATGGATGAAGGCTTAGGGGAGTCCTCCAAAGACCTGCTCATCAAGCGTAAAGTACCAGTTATGGGTCAAGCCATCTCTGTGGTTGGAGGAGGCTATGGAGAGAAGAGCCAACCTGAAACGGGGGAAGCCCCCCAGGTCAAGAGGCTGCCTGAGCCCATCCTCCCCTCCACACAGATCAAGTGAGTCTGAAGCTGTACAACTATCACACATAAAAGCAAACCCGTACCCTACAGCTACCCTGCCATTTAACCATTCTGACTGTTTCGTTTGTGTGTTTTCATCTAATTTTTTTAGAACACCTGGTGCAGGTGGGAAGAGGAAAGTGTTCAGATTGGCTGATGTGATCCAGCCGTTGACAGATACCCAGCTTGAGAAGTTGACCAACATGGCTGTCAAGCGTATCCTGCACTCTGAAAAAGCTATAGCACAGAGTGGGATGGCCCATGTGAGTTTCTCAAAACATTGGACCTCTAGAGTAGAGAAATAAAGGAAGGCATCAATTTCCATAGGAACGAACATCTATAGGAAGAGACAAACATCTTATTTGAGTATGTAACCATATGTCAAATTTGATTGGTCTCGTACACATTTTGCGGATGTTATCATGGGTGTAGCGAAATGCTTATGTTCCTAGCTCCAACAGTGCAGTAATACCTAACAATACACGCAAATCCCCCAAAATAAAAAGAAACAAATGAAGAAATATAGAAATATTAGACCGAGCGATGTCAGAGTCCAGAATATAAATAAAGATGTACTCTTCCTGGCAGGTGCGTGTGAAGCTCCTGTCCAGACTTGTGACCCAGTTTGAGGGGGTGATGAAGGATGATGTGCTGGAGTTCATTCTGGAGGACATTAGGACCAGGAGCGACCTGGCCTTCTCTCTTCTCTACCAGGAGTACAACACATACCTCAGTCAGCAGCCCACTGGCTTGTTGGACAGCTACGACCACTGCCTCTTCACTCTACTGTCTGGCCTGCAGGAGAAGCCCGAGCAGAGGGATGGGTGAGGACCATTACATTGTTCTTCTGTGGACACCAGATAAAGGGCTCCGCAGTCGAATGTCAATTATCTAACCCACTTTTCTATCAATTTCTATCTCTTCTCCTAGGCTTTTCACAAAGATTGTGCTGGAGGCTCCGTTAATTACAGAATCTGCTTTGGAAGTAATACGACGGTACTGTGAAGATGAGGTAATGATATTTGATTGTCTTTAAACTTTAGCAAATAATTAAAATGACGTACTGGCTTTGTCATCATGACAATGTAGTGATTTTCTTTCTGGTTGAATGTGTTTCAGTCGCGGGTGTACCTCGGCATGACTACTCTGAAAGAGCTGATTGTAAAACGGCCCTCAAGGCAGTTCCAGTACCTCCATGTGCTTCTGGATCTCAGCTCACATGAAAAGGAGAAGGTATCATAGGAGAATGAACAAAACTCAGTCTCTGTTGCTGCTGGCTTGTGTTTTTCTTTAGTTAACTGTGTGTTTTCTGTCCAGGTGCGCTCCAATGCTCTGTCCTTCATAAAGCGGATGTATGAGAAAGACCAGCTGAGGGACTATATTGAGAAGTTTGCCCTGAACTACATGCAGCTCCTCGTACACCCTAACCCTCCGTCATTACTCTTTGGGGCTGACAAGGACACAGGTGTGACTTCCAGTTTCACTTAGGCTTTTATACACACACCACAATGTCTCTCTCTTCCCCACTGACCTAACCATGTCTGACTGTTTGTCCCTCTCACTCCCACAGAGGTGGCCTCCCCCTGGACCGAGGACACAGTGAGGCAGTGCCTGTACCTCTACCTGTCCCTTCTGCCTCTCAACCACCGCCTGGTTCATGAGCTGGCCTCTGTCTACACTGAAGCCATTGCTGACATCAAGCGCAGTGTGCTTCGAGTGATAGAGCAGCCAGTAAGCCCCTTCTTCTTACCCGCTCTCTTTAGTTTTGTCTAATTGCTTTTTCTCTCCCTGCACCAGTCTTTGGTCTTCTGTGCCGTTTGGCTTGCTTGTCCACCAGTGTGTGTTCATGAGTTTTCTCCCTGCCCAATAGATCCGTGGAATGGGGATGAAGTCTCCAGAGCTTCTGCTGTTGGTTGAAAACTGTCCTAAAGGAGCAGAGACTCTGGTCACTCGCTGCCTGCACATTCTCACTGATAAAGGTAAAGTGTATTTCACTCCACTGCCCAGCTTATTCGCAGATGGTCTGTGTGCTTGGCAAAAGGGAGATGAAATGGTAGTGTCAGCTTCTACTTGGACTCTTATTGTCTTTCCTTACAGTGCCTCCGTCACCAGAGTTGGTGGAGAGAGTGAGGGACCTGTATCACAAACGAGTGCCCGACGTTCGTTTCCTAATCCCTGTCATCAATGGCCTGGAAAAGGTAAGGACTCAAAGAAACGATGGTGCCATTCACAAAGCGGCTACAATAGGGAGATAACTGGCATTAAAACAACAGGATCAGTGTTACATTGATCAAATTAAATGTCATTGGTCACATGCACCGAATACAACAGGTGTAGACTTTGCAGTGAAATGCTTACTTACGAGCCCATTCCCAACAATGCAGAATTAAAAAGTAAGACAAATATTTGCTAAATAAAAAAGGAAATGGTAAGAATAGAAACCATAGCATGTAGCTCAGTTGGTAGAGCATGGCGCTTGCAACGCCAGGGTTGTGGGTTCATTTCCCACGGGGGGCCAGTATGAAAAATGTATGCACTCACTAACTGTAAGTCGCTCTGGATAAGAGCGTCTGCTAAATGACTTAAATGTAAAAATGTAAATAACAAGGCTATATACAAGGAGCACCAGTACAGAGTCAATGTGCTGGGGTATGAGGTAGAGGTAATTGAGGTAACACAGTATGCACATATGGGTAGGGGTAAAAGTGACTAGGCAATCAGGATATATAATAAATAGAGTTCTCCCTGATTCTGCTGTGTTTCTGTGTACAGAAAGAGGTGACCCAGGCTCTTCCCAAGCTTATCAAGCTCAACCCCATTGTGGTGAAGGAAGTCTTCAATCGTCTCCTGGGCACCCAGCATAGTAAGATCCCTTCACATCTTCCAGTGATTGCTGTCCACACTTGTATGTCACAAGTGTGAATGATGTGTAATAACACTGTCATCTCTCGTTACTAGGTGAGGGCAGTTCCTCAATGTCTCCTCTCACCCCTGGTGAGCTTCTCATTTCTTTACACAATGTTGACTCAACAAAGTGTGACATGAAGTCCATCATAAAAGGTAAGTTGTCTTCTACCTGACAACCGTTCAGTTTCGTTTTCTCTGATACACTATTATGAGATTTTTCTGTTGGAACATTTCTGAGCTAATCAAAGTGTATTATTTGTGTGTCCATGTCTGCAGCCACCAACCTGTGTTTTGGAGAGAAGAATGTGTACACGTCGGAGGTCCTGGCCGTGGTGATGCAGCAGCTGATGGAGCAGAGTCCTCTCCCCATTCTGCTAATGAGAACAGTTATCCAGTCCCTCAGCATGTACCCCCGCCTGGGCGGCTTCGTCATGAACATCCTGTCCCGACTCATTGTCAAGCAGGTCTGTAAACTAGGAGTTTTTCTCCTACACTAACACATTGAGTATTCAGTTAAGGCAACATTTAGACATAGACTTGATTGGATGACTTTGCTGTTTAAGAGCACAGTATGCCGGTAACCTGCTATATGTAATATTTATATATGTCCCTGTTTGTTGTGCAGGTGTGGAAGTATCCTAAGGTGTGGGAGGGCTTTGTGAAGTGCTGCCAGAGGACCAAGCCGCAGTCCTACAGCGTGCTGCTGCAGCTCCCACCAGCTCAGCTTACCAGTGTGTTTGAGCGCTGCCCGGAGATGAGGGAACCTCTTCTACAGCACGTCCACTCTTTCACCCCTCACCAGGTAGCTAGCTAACGTCATCTCTCTTTCTTTTAGTGGTAGACATTCTAAACTCATACCAATGAAATGCAGCTGTGATATGAAGTCTCTCTATTTCTCAGTCTAAACGTTCTCTGGTTGTTGTTACAGCAAGCCCACATCCCCGCCTCCATCATGACAGTCCTGGAGGCGAACAGCAAACAGCCAGAACCAGAGGCCATGCAGCCTGTAGTATTGGAGAGACAGGTAATGGGCACAGACAACCACTGATGGCTATGTGTCTGTCACTAACTATTGTCATGTCTAAACCTTGAATGTAATGCTGTCCTTCTTAATTACTTTCCCTATTTTTTTCTCCCCTCTACACCACCCTTCTCTTTCACTACATACAGGTTGAGACACCCGTTGCAACTATCGCACCTGTTTCAACCATTGCACCCGTTGTAACCTTCGCACCTGTTGCAACCATCGCAACCCCTCCAGTACTGGCAGAACCTATTCCAGTGCAGCTGAGAGATCCAGAGCCAGCAGTCCAGCAGCATCTGCCAAATACAAAAGAGGAAGAGGAGCCCATGGAGGAAGGAGAGACAGCCCCCGCTAGTCAAGAGGAAACTGCAGACACCGCTTTGCAGGTACGTCGAAACTCTATTGTCATTATTTTGTCGCTGTTACAGCAGTTGGTTGTATTTATGTGGAAAGTTTTGAAAAGGTGTACATTTTATGACACAACTGGTGTCTTGGTATATTACATATAGCTAGTGTGTGTTTATAATATAACTCAAATCAATTATGTTTCTACCAGGTGGATTTGCCAGTAGTGGAAGAAAACCCCACTCCGGATCCTGTAGAGACCGTGGAGGAACCAATGGAGGAGGCACCTACTGAAACTTCAGATGTCACTGACCAATTAAAAGATGTCACCGAAGACGGTACCACAGAATCTGAGGCTGGCACAGGAGATGCAGAATGATGTTTCATCTGAGGAAGGGCATAAAGGAGAATATTATGAGCCGAGGGTGAACTGTTGCGACTTCACCTCTGTATTTGTACTGGCTCTTACCCTTATGAACCTCTTGAAAGTAACCATTCTTGGTCATCCAAAAATATCTGTTATGTGTCCTCCGTTTTGTATTTGTCGAAATAGCGAAATGCACTGGGGAAATCTAGTCAGGAAAAATATTTACTACAATTTATTTTACTTTTGAAAGTCCTTAATAAAAAATGTCTTTGTCATGAGAATAAAATAAAACACATTTTTGTTTATTTGTCCCATGTCTTTTTATTGTGCCCTAACTTGAAACAGACTATGTATTGCATATGTGTACTGGTCTACTCTCTGTCAAAGGTGGGCAGTGAATTCAACCTTTATTTCATGCTTCGATTGAGACCACCTTCAGCAAGTTCCTGCAGGTCATTTCATTTTTCAACTGTTATTGGAGTGGAGGATGTGCTGCGACTGGTGGACATTCTATGCGCAAAGTACCACGAGCACAGCAACAGTATTGTTTACCCTAGAAACAGGGCGCTAGTAATGTGGATTTTTCTATAGAGGAACTTGGATAGCAATTTTCAAAAGCTATCTGTTGAGATTTGTCTTTTTAACGTTTTGGAAAAGTGTTAATTTTGACGCATGATAAACAACCTAAACTTAACCGCGACAATGGGGCTTACTGGGTGTTAGCGAGTTGTTTTCACAACAGGGCCGTTTTCTGTTGTGTTGTGTACGCAAGAAAGATGGAGTCAGAGGGAGCACTGAACAATCAAAGGGAGCTGACATCGATCTGCTTCAAGGCCTTTATGCTAAAAAATAGTACAAAAAGTAACCTCAACCTGTGAGTATTTGTATGATGATGGGTGATGCTAGCGTGTAAGTAAAGTGAGTATGACACTTATCTCCAACCTTTCCAGCTATGATCATTTTGCACGGGTACTGACCAAGGTGATGGATGAGCGCCCAGAAAATGTGGTTGACGTAATTGAAGACATGAGCCGTGAGGTGAAGCGGGGATTGCTGATGGACAAGCAGAGCACGTTGAGAGACATACCTCTGGCGCCTGCTGCACAGCTCCTGGCTGAGCAGCAGAGGTTGCTGTTTTCACGGGGAGGGGGTGATGATGGTGACCAAGAGGTAACGTTAAGGTGGCCAGGGCTGCATTCAGTACAGAACACGTAATAGAACTCTCAATTGAACGGAAACGGTGCTGTACTGAATGACTAGTTGAAAAACAAACATACACTATATATACAAAAGTATGTGGACACCCCTTCAAATTAGTGGATTCGGCTATTTCAGCGACACCCGTTGCTGACAGGTGTATAAAATTGAGCACACTGCCATGCAATCTCCATAGACAAACATTGACAGTAGAATGGCCCGTATTGAAGAGCTCAGTGACTTTCAACGTGGCACCGTCATAGGATGCCACCTTTCCAACAAGTCAGTTTGTCAAATTTCTGCCCTGCCCCGGTCAACTGTAAGTGCTGTTATTGTGAAGTGGAAACATCTAGGAGCAACAATGGCTCAGCCGTGAAGTGGTAGGCCACACAAGCTCACAGAACGGGACCGCCCTCGGTTGCAACACTCACTACCGAGTTTCAAACTGCCTCTGGAAGCAACGAAAGCACAATAACTGTTCATCGGGAGCTTCATGAAATGGGTTTCCAAGGCCAAGCAGCCACACTCAAGCTTAAGATCACCATGCGCAATGCCAAGTGTCAGCTGGAGTGGTGTAAAGCTCGCCGCCATTGGACTCTGGAACAGTGGAAACGTGTTCTCTGGAGTGATGAATCACACTTCACCATCTGGCAGTCCGATGGACAAATCTAGGTTTGGCGGATGCCAGGAGAACGCTACCTGCTCCAATGCATAGTGCCAACTGTAAAGTTTGGTGGAGGAGGAATAATGTACTGGGGCTGTTTTTCATGGTTTGGGCTAGGCCCCTTAGTTCCAGTGAAGGGAAATCTTAACGCTACAGCATACAATGACATTCTAGATGATTCTGTGCTTCCAACTTTGTGGCAACAGTTTGGGGAAGGCCCTTTCCTGTTTCATGAGCGAGGTCGGTGTGGAAGAACTTGACTGGCCTGCACAGAGCCCTGACCTCAACCCCATCAAATACCTTTGGGATGAATTGTAACGCAGACTGCGAGCCAGGCCTAATCGCCTAACATCATGCCAGACCTCACTAATGCTCTTGTGGCTGAATGGAAGCAAGTCCCGGCAGCAATGTTCCAACATCTAGTGGAAAGTCTTCCCAGAAGAGTGGAGGCTGTTGATTCAGCAAAAGAGGGGACTAACCATATTAATGCCCATGATTTTGGAATGAGATGTTCGATGAGCACGTGTCCATATACTTTTGGTCATGTAGTGTATCTCAAAGTCTGTTCAAGAACGTTTTGTGAAAACGTGTTGTTCAGCGAACTGAATGCACTAGTTACCACAGCCACAACGTGTATTGTAAAAATTCATGGGGGAAAAATTTGCTTTTTGGTCTTAATTTAAGGTTATGGTTAGGCATAAGGTTAGCAGTGTGATTAGGGTTAGGTTTAAAATGAGATTTTATAAATATTACTTTGTGGCTGTGGTAACTAGTGACGACCCCGATTTTGGTGGCTGTCCCCGGAAATGTCGCTTGTTAGTCCTCAGAATGAAAAAGCAACTCTGAAGTTAAATTGAGGCTGATATAGCGAGCCTATCAATAATCAAACGCTGTATCCAATCAGATTTGCATGTAAAAATGATGTCTAACCCTGTACCCAAATCGTTTGCTCCAGCGGCTTTGCCGCTGACCTTTTATGAAAACGTTTGATCAGTGATACATTGTAACAATCGCATGAACAACCATGCCCATGGTCAGAAAGTGCATCCAACAGCATAGGCTACCAAACTTGGGTGTTTCAAAAATGACTAGATAGGCTAAGATTAAGAAAACTGTGGAGGGGTCAAACAAGTATTAATACAAGTATTTGAAAGTACTCACGGCCGGCCCGCTCATTGGGCAGATTGACGAGGGCGGCATTTTATGAGCTAAACTGACCAATACCCACCACTAACAACAACACATAAAACCTCACATAATTCTGTCCAAAAACAATGACAATTTCTCTCAACCAGTGGCATATGGGCTTTTTAGGTGAGCGCTAATGCCGTCCTGTGATAAGCAGTGACCACATTGTCAAAGGCAGGGGCGCAAAATATTTTGGTTGTCCATTCCCAGCGTGCATCTTCAGGGTGCTGTTAGAGAGATGCATCGCTGCAGCGGTCCACCAACGTTCCGTAAAAAAATCAAAAAATAATCTAACATAAATCATGTAGCAGATATAGGATATGGTAGAAAGAGTATGTGGCCTTTTCTGTAGCCAACCGACTGGAGATAATGTATGACAATGTAATGAGACGGACACTTTTTACATCATGCAGGTTTCTCCAATCAAATAGTCAAACCTAAATGGCGCTCAAGCAACAAAAAAAAGTGCTGTCATGTTAACAAACAACATATCCTAAAAACAGAAGAGGTCAAAGTAAAATGGACAATATGGAATGGACAATCACAACTGTTGTCCAGGAGTTTCACCCCATTGTCATGATCAGTGTGGTTTCATGTTTGTATCAGTACATTTTTGACAAGCTGATCATAGCGAAAAAGAAAATACTTCTGCATTTCCTGCTTTGTAAACACATTGCAAATAGGCTCACTATAACTCCTGATAAAGTTGGGTAGCTGATATTCAGAGCTTAAATAGCCAAATGGATTAGTCACATGAATCAGGACTAATAACGCGGATGTAATGGCCTGTTTTACAAACGGTGGGCCGATACCACATGGAGGGGCATTTACAAAATTCATTGCGGGCTTCTTTTGGACTTCTTTTTGGGGTGTTTTACAAACGGTAAGCTTACCACATAGATGGGCATTCATAAAATTCAATTTCAGGCAACACTGTAGGCTACACCTCAGTAAGCACTGACCGACGCCGACGCCTTTTGGATGTGTTTTTTGGTGCAGTTCAGGACCGGTCGACCGCCCTTGATTTCCACATTCACGGACATCGGTTTTTGGTCCGGTCCGGAACAAATCTGAACCAATCATAGACATCTATGTTTGGTTCAGATTTGGTATGGTCAAGAATGGCCTTGATTTCAATGTCCATGGTCATTGATTTTTGGTTCGGTCCGGATCAAATCTGAACCAAACATAGACCAATCATAGACGTGTATAAATTACTTATTTTCAACTTTCATTCAGAACCAAAAATTAACCTGATTTCAACATCCGGAAAATACGTATTTTAAACATACAGAAAATATTTTTTCACCTTTCATTTTGCTTACTGGGACTATTCTAGTTTTCGGGGCAGCATTGGTCTGGCAGAATGGCAAGGACCGGCCCTGATAAGTGCTATAGTGAAAATATAGTTTTTTATATATTTATGCGCAGCGACACCCCTCATTTTCTTTTCCAAAATGTAGTCACTTTACCAAGAGGAGGAACTGGTAAGAGAACAAATTATGATAGTGATCCTTGCACATTCACTTTACCAAGACTGATTTGGGGAATGGATGAGCATGTTGTATAGTGTGATCAATAATTATTTAAATGTGCCTGTGTCTCATTAGGTAGAAACACCGCTCCCCAATGTGAGTGAAGTTGGCTTCTTCCTGGAGCAGGCTGGAGTGGGACTGGGCAGAGAGGAGATGCTGAGGGTTTTCCTGGCACTCAAGCAGTTGGTGGATTCCCAACCACTAGCACGCTGCCGACTCTGGGGTAAAATCCTGGGCACAGAGGGAAACTATCTTGTTGCTGAGGGTGAGTACAGAGATGGGGAGGAGGAGGAAGGGATTAATGAGGAAACAGCGGAAGACGCTGAAGGAGAACCTCGGGATGATGATGAGGAAGCTGAGGTGGTAGAAGTGGTGAGTTACTGAAAAAACCTGTCTGACTGTATGTTGCTTTCATATTACGTTTCTTCTTTTATAAAACATTTATAATGACTTTGCTTTTTAGATTGATACGCTCCCAAGATCCACTTTCAAGCCGCCACCTGTGGTGCCAAAGGAGGACAACCGCACAGGTGTGAACAAATTCACTTACTTTGTGTGCAGAGAGCCTGGCCTTCCCTGGATGAGGCTGCCCACTGTCACTCCTACCCAGATTACAGCTGCACGCAACATCCGCAAATTCTTCACAGGGAGACTGGATACCCCCATCGTCAGCTATCCTCCTTTCCCTGGCAATGAGGCCAACTATTTGCGAGCCCAAATTGCTCGCATCTCTGCCGGCACACAGGTCAGTCCCCTCGGGTTCTACCAGTTTGGAGAGGAGGAAGGTGAGGAGGAAGAGGAGGGAGGCCGAGACAGTTTTGAAGAGAATCCTGACTTTGAGGGTATTCCTGTTCCTGAAATGGCAGAATCTCTATCCACCTGGGTGCATCATGTACAGCACATTCTCCAACAGGTAACTGTGACTCAAAAACATTCAATTTTTGGTGTGATTTTGAGCAGCAATTTTCAGGTATACTCCAGACCATTTTTTTTGCCCTGTAAATTATCATATGGCCTCTCCTAGGGTCGCTGTGTGTGGGTGAACCTGGCTGAGAAGCCTGAGGATGACTTTGAGGAGGAAGCAGATGAAGAGGGGAAGGAGGAGGCTGATGAGCCTGAGCCAGAGGTGGGGCCTCCCCTCCTCACACCACTCTCTGAGGATGCAGGTCAGTCTATTCTATTCTAGTCTGTGTTGGCCTACGATAAGGTCAAGATACATTTTCACTCGATTCTGGTAGTATGCTGTCTATTATAGAAAAAATGATGTATTAAACTAATTTCGACTGTTTGCTTGCATATGCATATCAGAGATTACCACCACCCCTCCCTGGAGCTCCAAGATGTCCTCCACCCTCATCTCTCAGTTTGCTATTGCAGTGCTACGCTCCAACCTCTGGCCAGGGGCTTATGCTTATGCCAGTGGAAAGTAAGTTTAGTATCTTTATTTTCTGAATATTATACAGGGAATGTTTTGTTATATGTTGTTATAACTGTGGCATAGACAACATCCCCAATCAAATAAATGTTTTTGTTGTTTCCTAATTTAGGAAATTTGAGAATATATACTTTGGCTGGGGCCTGAAATTTGCAGGGGAAGTGTACACCCCAACTGTTCCATCAATGCCTCAGCGAGAATACACCAGCGGGCCAGAGATCACAGAGGCCCTGGACTCCAGTCTGGAGGAAGAGCAGGCACTGAAAGCAGCCCTGGAGGAGCAGAAGGCTGCCCAAGATGAGACAGCGGGCCTGGGTGGAGATGAAGAGGAGGAAGATGATGATTGATGAAGACTTTGTAGGAAACAGACACTACATTACAAAATTAGCAGTATTTACTGTTGACTAAGGGCATAATTTGTCAAGAAAGCACAAATTAAACAATTCGCAGAGCAATGTCCCATGCCTCTTTTTTTTTTTACAATCACAAAGCTGTTTTTGAAGATGAACAGAGAGAATAATGTTTGTGCATTTAATTCACATCTTTTTGTTTAGTAACGTAGTCAGATGTGTTGGCATGGCAGACTTCACTGTTTATTAGTTTCAATATGAAGCAGACAAGGAACTCATTACCTCAATGATTGCTCCTGGCCGAATGTGTGGGGTGTTCCTTCAATAAGGTATCTCTATAACCATAAACGAGCATGACAGAAACTACGCAGAGAATAAGAAAAATACATTATTTTTACATTAATTTTGCATTACAACAAAACATGAAATGCATGCAATACAAGTCAGAGGTAAAAAATCTAATTAATATTTGATTAATCTGCCAACACAGTGAATTAGGTTAAAATCCATACTGTAGAGCAAATGAGGCAGACAATTATATGGATAATGAACTGTTTTCATTGTTTCACTGCAAACATGCACATCCTTCAATCATAGTCACTTGTAGCTGTGTAATACAGATATTTGAGTAAACAGAGACTCTTCCACCTCAGGAGGCTGAAGAAATTTGGCTTGGCACCTAAAACCCTCACAAACTTTTACAGATGCACAATTGAGAGCATCCTGTCGGGCTGTATCACCACCTGGTACGGCAACTGCACCGCCCGCAACCGCAGGGCTCTCCAGAGGGTGGTGCGGTCTGCCGAACGCATTACCGGGGGCAAACTACCCGTCCTCCAGGACACCTACAGCACCCAGTCACAGGAAGGCCAAAAGGATCATCAAGGACATCAACCACCCAAGCCGCTGCCTGTTCACCCTGCTATCATCCAGAAGGCGAGGTCAGTACAGGTGCATCAAAGCTGGGACAGAGAGACTGAAAAACAGCTTCTATCTCAAGGCCATCAAACTGTTAAATATTCATCACTAGCACATAAGAGGCTGCTGCTGCCTATTGAAATCACTGGCCACTTTAAGAAATGGAACACTAGTCACTTTAATAATGTTTACATACAGTTGAAGTCGGAAGTTTACATACACTTAGGTTGGAGTCATTAAAACTTGTTTTTCAACCACTCTACATATTTCTTGTTAACAAACTATAGTTTTGGCAAGTCGGTAAGGACATCTTCTTTGTGCATGACACAAGTGACATGTATGTGAGGGCAGCAAACATGTTCAAAATGGCCAAAAATTGGAGTGGTAAGATTTGGTTATAGTGGACATTTAGAACGGCAAGGGGTGTGTGGGGTGTAACCAACATAATACCTTGGTTCATATTTTGTTCCAGCTGCTGGCAACGCATTCTCTCAAGCAGCACACCTTCATCTGCAGATGGACAACAAACTTGATGGAGCCATCAATTTCCTTGATGCAGGCAATGCTTTCAAAAAAGCGGACCCACAAGGTACATCCCATTTTACTTTACTCTCTGAAAAAGTTTACAGTTGTATTATCAACATTATGGGGGTTATGGAACAGACATTACACAGTTGAAGTCAGAAGTTTACATACACTTAGGTTGGAGTCATTAAAAGTCGTTTTTCAACCACTAGGACATCTACTTTGTGCATGACACAAGTACTTTTTCCAACAATTGTTTACAGACAGATTATTTCACTTATAATTCACTGTATCACAATTCCAGTGGGTCAGAAGTTTACATACACTAAGTTGACTGTGCCTTTAAACAGCTTGGAAAATTCCAGAAAATGATGTCATGGATTTAGAAGCTTCTGATAGGCTAATTGACATCATTTGAGTCAATTGGAGGTGTACCTGTGGATGTATTTCAAGGCCTACCTTCAAACTCAGTGCCTCTTTGCTTGACATCATGGGAAAATCAAAAGAAATCAGCCAAGACCTCAGAAAAAAATGGTAGACCTCCACAAGTCTGGTTCATCCTTGGGAGCAATTTCCCAATACCAAAAATGGTATTCTTTCTCTCTGCACAAGACGCTTGGCACACCTGAGGTCGTCGGGTAAGCTTGGCGTCGGGTAAGTTTGGCTTTATACATAGCTTGGGCTTTGTCGAGTAAGGCTTAAACTATGTATTTAGATTGTAGTTAGGTATTGTAGGTAGGTATCGTGGGTTGTTGTATGTAATTATTGTAGGTTAGTACTGTATTCGGCGGTGCCGGGTGTAGCACGAAGCTAGCTAGCTAGCTAGCTAACTCACCACCTGGACTAGCTGGCGAGTAGCTATTAGCAACGGTATAGTTGTTTCACGCCTGAGAGTGCTTGTAATTACGCCAGCTGGCTGCCTACAATAATTACATACAAGAACTGCCTACCATTCAGCTGTTTTCTAACCTCATTGTCTGAACCGTTAACGTTAGGTAGCAAGTAGCTACTGTGCTTGAAATTTAGCTAGCTTGTTGCTACCTGGATAGCGACTAGTAAACAATAGCTGGAACGACCGAGCGAACAGACGCGAACTGGCTGAGTCAATTCAGTGGCTAGCTTTGCACTTGGCTAGCTAACAGTAGCTGCTAGGGGTAAGTCATAACCTACACTTGTGTTTTGTTCTTTACATATTGATAGCCCGAGTCGTTCAAGGAATTCGGGACATGGGTGACTAGTTAACGTTAGTTTGGCTCTCTTTGTGTTCGTGCCGTGAAAGGAGGGGTTCTTCTTTGTCTGAAAGCAATGGCTAGCTAGTTTGCTAACTATCCTAGCTAACTAACTGGCTGAATAAGTTGACGACGGACTCGCTCAAGCTGTCGGGACTAACCCACAACGTTAGACACGGACACGAACGATCTGCTTGCGTGTTGATACACTGGTGGTTTGTTGTGGCTGAGTATTGGCGCTAAACCGTGTTGTTGGAGACCGGCATGCTAGCTGGCTGCGGCGTCTTATGACGAGGTGCCCGGACGTTTTTCACGGAATAATACTGCACCTAGTTAGCTAGCTGAATAAACTAAGTTAGTCTATTCCTAGAAAACATTGAACCGCTGTAGTTTACAACAATTATAGTTTCTGAGGTGGAAGTTGGGAGAGTTATATTTGGGAGTTGTGGTGAGGGAGGCCCCGCTCTCTCCTTTCCCAGATGTTTAGTTCATTTCATTCCGATCTCCTCTGCATTATTATAGCCATCTGCTGCAGCCTGTCAACTATGCCTCTGCCTATCCCTGTTCTCTCCTCTCCGCACAGGCTACACAAACGCCTCACACCGCGTGGCTGCTGCCTCTCTAACCTGGTGGTCCCTGCACGCACGACCCACGTGGAGTTCCAGGTCTCAGGCAGCCTCTGGAACTGCCGTTCTGCTGCCAACAAGGCAGAGTTCATCTCAGCCTATACTACCCTCCAGTCCCTCGACTTCTTGGCGCTGACGGAAACATGGATTACCACTGAAAACACTGCTACTCCTGCTGCTCTCTCCTCGTCTGACCATGTGTTCTCGCATACCCCGAGAGCATCTGGTCAGCGGGGTGGTGGCACAGGAATCCTCATCTCTCCCAAGTGGACATTCTCAATTTTTCCCCTGACCCATCTGTCTATCTCCTCATTGCGTTCATCCACCTCTGGCCTGCTGGCTCCCCTACCTCTGCGGAAGCATAGTTCCCGCTCAGCCCAGTCAAAACTGTTCGCTGCTCTGGCACCCCAATGGTGGAACAAGCTCCCTCACGACGCCAGGACAGCGGAGTCACTCACCACCTTCCGGAGACATTTGAAACCCCACCTCTTTAAGGAATACCTGGGATAGGATAAAGTAATCCTTCTACCCCCCCCCCCCCCCCCCCAAAAAAAACAAAAAAACATTGTAAAGTGGTTATCCCACTGGCTATAAGGTGAATGCACCTATTTGTAAGTCGCTCTGGATAAGAGCGTCTGCTAAATGACGTAAATGTAAATGTAAGTCTGGTTCATCCTTGGGAGCAATTTCCAAATGCCTGAAGGTACCACGTTCATCTGTACAAACAATAGTATGCAAATATAAACACCATGAGACCACGCAGCCGTCATACCGCTCAGGAAGGAGACGCGTTCTGTCTCCTAGAGATGAACGTACTTTGGTGCGAAAAGTGCAAATCAATCCCAAAACAACAGCAAAGGACCTGGAGGAAACAGGTACAAAAGTATCTAGATCCACAGTAAAACAAGTCCTATATCGACATAACCTGAAAGGCCGCTCAGCAAGGAAGAAGCCACTGCTCCAAAACCGCCATAAAAAAGCCAGACTACGGTTAGCAACTGCACATGGGAACAAAGATCATACTTTTTGGAGAAATGTCCTCTGGTCTGATGAAACAAAAATAGAACTGTTTGGCCATAATGACCATCGTTATGTTTGGAGGAAAAAGGGGGTTGCTTGCAAGCCGAAGAACACCATCCCAACCGTGAAGCACGGGGGTGGCAGCATCATGCTGTGGGGGTGCTTTGCTGCAGGAGGGACTGGTGCACTTCACAAAATAGATGGCATCATGAGGAAGGAAAATTATGTGGATATATTGAGTTAAAGCTTGGTCGCAAAGTTAAAGCTTGGTCGCAAATGGGTCTTCCAAATGGACAATGACTCCAATCATACGTCCAAAGTTGTGGCAAAATGGCTTACGGACAACAAAGTCAAGGTATTGGAGTGGCCATCACAAAGCCCTGACCTCAATCCTATAGAAAATTTGTGGGCAGAACTGAAAAAGCGTGTGCGAGCAAGGAGGCCTACAAAGCTGACTCAGTTACACCAGCTCTGTCAGGAGGAATGGGCCAAAATTCACCCAACTTATTGTGGGAAGCTTGTGGAAGGCTACACGAAACGTTTGACCCAAGATAAACAATTTAAAGGCAATGCTACCAAATACTAATTGAGTGTATGTAAACTTCTGACCCACTGTGATGAAAGAAATAAAAGCTGAAATAAATCATTCTCTCTACTATTATTCTGACATTTCACATTCTTAAAATAAAGTGGTGATCCTAACTGACCTAAGACAGGGAATTTTTACTAGGATTAAATGTCAGGAATTGTGAAAAACTGAGTTTAAATGTATTCGGCTAAGGTGTATGTAAACTTCCGACTTCAACTGTATCTTGCATTACTCATCTCATATGTGTATATACTGTATTCTATAATATTCTACTGTATCTTAGTCCATGCCGCTCTGTCATTGCGCGTCCATATATGTATATGTTCTTAATTCCATTCCTTACTTAGTTTGTGGGTATTGGGTATATGTTGTGAAATTGTTAGATATTACTTGTTAGATATTACTACACTGTCGGAGCTAGAAGCACAAGCATTTCGCTACACCAGCAATAACATCTGCTAAACACGGGTATGTGACAAATAAAATTTGATTAGATTTTTGTGTACTTTAATGCACATGTAAAACGTGTTACCTCTTATTAATCAAGCCATAAGAGAATAATTGTTTATAATTTAAAACCAAATGTTTAATCAAGATGGGAAATAAATAAAACATGGGAAAGTGCGAGATTGCAATAGACCACCACCTTTAAGTACATGGACAGGTTAATCCATGGAATCATTCTAGTTCTGCCCATAGCACTGAGGTAATCCAGCTCCCTGTGTGGGAATGTAAACAGATTTCCTTTGGAATGACAACATCAAAATATTATCTATAGTATAATAATTTTAAAAAATTCAACATGTTCACAGTTCAGAGATCAATCAATAATGATTAAAAGGGAAATGGCTGCTAGTAGACCCACTGAAATAATTAATCTCTTCAACAGAGTTGGAAAAATATCTTCCATCTCTTACAATGTCTTAATCCAATATAAAATGCCCAACTAAAACATATTTCGCAGATGAGACTTTGCTATTGGGTAACACTCCAGCAGCATAATTGAGCAATGACCAATATACTTAAAAGTAGAAGCCTCAATTTATGACTGAAACACTTTTTAATTAACTAACCAGTTTATGACAGATACTGTATGTTCTAGAAGCATATAATGTTGCCTCTGGAAATGTCCAGGTCAGAAATGACCTAAAACCATTAGCACTTAAGAGAGTGAGGTGGAGTTACTATGACAGAAAACAACACAACAGAAATAAACTACAACAAAGATATTATCAGGTTTTATCCACCTCAATTGGATGGGCTAGTAGCTAGTAGGCTACACTTCCTTCTTTATCTACCTGGTGCTATTCTTCACAGGTTTTAGCCAGTAGTTCATCTTTGGGGTCTGGGCCAGGACCCTTATTGCTTGACAACACATCACACAGATTGATAAGTGGATAGACAGTTATGAAACACTAATTTAAAGCGTTCAATGCCTGGTGATTAAAGGATGACACCACCCAGAGAGAAAAATGGAAGATTGGTAAGTTATTCAGGAATGTGACGTGATATATAGTGGTAAAGTTCCAGGAGTAGTGAGAGAGATGATGATTAGTTCTGATGGATTATTAGAGGTGCGGATTAGCGAAGGTCGCTCTCGTCATCCTGTATTTGTTTCTTTATCCTCAGTAACATAGTAGTGTTCCACTGACCCAATCTTGGGATGGAGTCAAAGTCCTTCACCTGTTAAGAGAAGGAGAACTGGTTTAATGGACAAACATAATTTGAACATTTCATTCTGTCATCACGGAATGGCAAGTATAAGAAAAACCTACCGCATCAGTGAATGCATCAACATCCTGTTCCTCATATGCATCTAGAAGTTTCTGTTAAAATAAGCATAAGACATGTATTGTATACAGTCACAATACAACACTCAGGAAATGGCATGTTTTCTTTTTGGTTTCTACTACAAATAACCATAAATGTTATATTCAGTATCCACTCAGATAAAAAGCCCTTTAAAGAGCTGTTTAACTTTGAAACACAATAGACTTACCCTAACCAGTTTGCATTCTCTAGCGTCTGAGAAGGCTGGAAACATATCCTCATATCTCTGTACAGACAGCTGTTGGTAGACAAGAGATAAGAACAAAGTCAAAACTAGTTTATAGAGGCAAAGTGTTGATGTATGTATACGGAAATAAAGACTCACCCTTGCATTAAGCATGTCCACACAGAAGTGACAAAGAGCTGCTTTGAAGAAGTGGTCTGTAGCACAATACTTCAACAGGACGCTGTCCATTGCATATGTTCCAATCTGGGAATTACACAAAACAAACTCATAATAAGTTAATTGGGAAAGCCCACTAAAGCAGTTCATTGGTAATTTAATCACCATAATATACAGTGCATTCGGAAAGTATTCAGACCCCTTGACTTTTTCCACATTTTGTTACGTTACAGCCTTATTCTAAAATGGATTAAAAATATATATACATTAATAAATCTACACACAACACCCCATAATGACAAAGCAAAAACAGTTATATTTTTATTTTGTTGCAAATGTATACAAATATTTTTTTAAAACTGAAATATGGTGCCAGGTTTCCTCCAGACGTGACGCTTGGCATTCAGGCCAGGTTTCCTCCAGACGTGACGCTTGGCATTCAGGCCAAAGAGTTCAATCTTGGTTTCATCAGATCAGAGAATCTTGTTTCTCATGGTCTGAGAGTCCTTTAGGTGCCTTTTGGTAAACTCCAAGCGGGCTGTCATGTGCCTTTTTCTGAGGAGTTGCTTCCGTCTGGCCACTCTACCATAAAGGCCTGATTGGTGGAGTGCTGCAGAGATGGTTGTCCTTCTGGAAGGTTCTCCCATCTCCACAGAGGAACTCTGGAGCTCTGTCAGAGTCACCATTGGGTTCTTGGTCACCTCCCTGACCAAGGCCCTTCTCCCCCGATTGCTCAGTTTGGCCGGGCGGCCAGCTCTAGGAAGAGTCTTGGTGGTTTCAAACTTCTTCCATTTAAGAATGATGGAGGCCACTGTGTTCTTCGGGACCTTCAATGCTGCAGAAATATTTTGGTACCCTTCCCCAGATCTGTGCCTCGACACACTCCTGTCTCGGAGCTCTACGGACAATTCCTTTGACCTCATGGCTTGGTTTTTGCTCTGACATGTACTGTCAACTGTGGGACCTTATATAGACAGGTGTGTGCCTTTCCAAATCATGTCCAATCATGACGCCAATCAAGTTGTAGAAACATCTCAAGGATGATCAATGGAAACAGGATGCACCTGAGCTCAATTTCGAGTCTAATAGCAAAGGGTCTGAATACTTATGTAAATAAGGTATTTCTAAAAACCTGTTTTCACTTTGTTATTATGGGGTATTGTGTGTAGATTGATGAGGGGGAAAAACGATTTAATACATTTTAGAATAAGGCTGTAACGTAACAAAATGTGGAAAAAGTCACAAAGGGGTCTGAATACTTTCTGAATACACTGTACATGAGTAAATACACACCTGTTCATAAATGTCAATGGCTTTCTGGTACTGTTCCAGTTGGGCAGCGTAGGTGGCCACTTTCAGAAGGCATTTACAGTGGGGGAAAAAAGTATTTAGTCAGCCACCAATTGTGCAAGTTCTCCCACTTAAAAAGATGAGAGAGGCCTGTAATTTTCATCATAGGTACACGTCAACTATGACAGACAAATTGAGAGAAAAAAATCCAGAAAATCACATTGTAGGATTTTTAATGAATTTATTTGCAAATTATGGTGGAAAATAAGTATTTGGTCACCTACAAACAAGCAAGATTTCTGGCTCTCACAGACCTGTAACTTCTTCTTTAAGAGGCTCCTCTGTCCTCCACTCGTTACCTGTATTAATGGCACCTGTTTGAACTTGTTATCAGTACAAAAGACACCTGTCCACAACCTCAAACAGTCACACTCCAAACTCCACTATGGCCAAGACCAAAGAGCTGTCAAAGGACACCAGAAATTAAATTGTAGACCTGCACCAGGCTGGGAAGACTGAATCTGCAATAGGTAAGCAGCTTGGTTTGAAGAAATCAACCGTGGGAGCAATTATTAGGAAAGGGAAGACATACAAGACCACTGATAATCTCCCTCGATCTGGGGCTCCACGCAAGATCTCACCCCGTGGGGTCAAAATGATCACAAGAACGGTGAGCAAAAATCCCAGAACCACACGGGGGGACCTAGTGAATGACCTGCAGAGAGCTGGGACCAAAGTAACAAAGCCTACCATCAGTAACACACTACGCCGCCAGGGACTCAAATCCTGCAGTGCCAGACGTGTCCCCCTGCTTAAGCCAGTACATGTCCAGGCCCGTCTGAAGTTTGCTAGAGTGCATTTGGATGATCCAGAAGAGGATTGGGAGAATGTCATATGGTCAGATGAAACCAAAATATAACTTTTTGGTAAAAACTCAACTCGTCGTGTTTGGAGGACAAAGAATGCTGAGTTGCATCCAAAGAACACCATACCTACTATGAAGCATGGGGGTGGAAACATCATGCTTTGGGGCTGTTTTTCTGCAAAGGGACCAGGACGACTGATCTGTGTAAAGGAAAGAATGAATGGGGCCATGTATCGTGAGATTTTGAGTGAAAACCTCCTTCCATCAGCAAGGGCATTGAAGATGAAACGTGGCTGGGTCTTTCAGCATGACAATGATCCCAAACACACCGCCCGGGCAACGAAGGAGTGGCTTCGTAAGAAGCATTTCAAGGTCCTGGAGTGGCCTAGCCAGTCTCCAGATCTCAACCCCATAGAAAATCTTTGGAGGGAGTTGAAAGTCCGTGTTGCCCAGCGACAGCCCCAAAACATCACTGCTCTAGAGGAGATCTGCATGGAGGAATGGGCCAAAATACCAGCAACAGTGTGTGAAAACCTTGTGAAGACTTACAGAAAACGTTTGACCTGTGTCATTGCCAACAAAGGGTATATAACAAAGTATTGAGAAACTTTTGTTATTGACCAAATACTTATTTTCCACCATCATTTGCAAATAAATTCATTAAAAATCCTACAATGTGATTTTCTGGATTTTTTTTCCTCATTTTGTCTGTCATAGTTGACGTGTACCTATGATGAAAATTACAGGCCTCTCTCATCTTTTTAAGTGGGAGAACTTGCACAATTGGTGGCTGACTAAATACTTGTTTTCCCCACTGTATTTGCAGCACTACAATTAGATTGAGCAGAAAATAATCAGTTCAATATACATTCACACAAGAGAAATGTATGAAAAGTGGGATGGAATACACCCGTAAATCCCATAAGGGATTATGCCAGAACTTTGAAATACCTGTTCATAGTGACCAATGGCCTGTGGATTAAAAAGTCACATTTACTTGTCATGGCCTCTCATTGATATCAAAGGCTGAAATATGTGCGAAAGATAATTGACAAATAATAATGGCGCTGGAGGAGATGGTTGCCGTTTTACGGACGTCTAACCAATTGTGCTATTATGTGTGTTTCTTCGCGTTATTTGTAACTTATTTTGTACATAATGTTTCTGTTGGTTAAGGGCTTGTAAGTAAGCATTTCACTGTTGTATTCGGCGCATGTGACAAATAACACTTGATTTGATATCTATGAAAAACAGTACATTACATGATACCACACTCTATAAGGCTCTTATGAGTGACTGACCTTATCAACGTCTAATAGCTCACTCTCGTAGATCTCAGCAATAGATATGTGGTGTTTGGCTGCAATGGTGAAACGGCCTGCAGACAAGAAGAGGTGAAATAATCATCAACACACCATACAACTAGTGCTCCTTAACACTAGGCACAATTGTCTATCATTGAGCAGGCTTGAGATTTACTTATTTATTATACTGTGTAGTGAATGCAGAAATACTCCCAGCTTCTCACCATGTTTGTGTAAATTTCAATGGCTTGGTTCAGGCAGTTGATGGCCTCTGTGTGGAGATGAAAAGTACATTCAATTAGAATCACACAGTTACATTCTAATAGGGCATACACTGTGGCAAACATTGTTCAACCCTTGAGGATATAATAACATGTACAGTTAAAGTCAGAAGTTTACATACACCTTAGCCAAATATATTTAAACTCAGTTTTTCACAATTCCTGATATTTAATCCTAGTAAAAATTCCCTGTTTTAGGTCAGTTAGGATCACCACTTTATTTTAAGAATGTGAAATGTCAGAATAATAGTAGAGATAATTATTTATTTCAGCTTTTATTTATTTCATCACATTCCCAGTGGGTCAGAAGTTTACATACACTCAATTAGTATTTGGTAGCATTGCCTTTAAATTGTTTAACTTGGGTCAAACGTTTCGGGTAGCCTTCCACAAGCTTCCCACAATAAGTTGGGTGAATTTTGGCCCATTCCTCCTGACAGAGCTGGTGTAACTGAGTCAGCTTTGTAGGCCTCCTTGCTCGCATACGCTTTTTCAGTTCTGCCCACAAATGTTCTATAGGATTGAGGTCAGGGCTTTGTGATGGCCACTCCAATACCTTGACTTTGTTGTCCTTAAGCCATTTTGCCACAACTTTGGAAGTATGCTTGGGGTCATTGTCCATTTGGAAGACCCATGCCATCTATTTTGTGAAGTGCACCAGCCCCTCCTGCAGCAAAGCACCCCCACAGCATGATGCTGCCACCCCGTGCTTCACGGTTGGGATGGTGTTCTTTTTTTCCTCCAAACATAACGATGGTCATTATGGCCAAACAGTTCTATTTTTGTTTCATCAGACCAGAGGACATTTCTCCAAAATGTACGATCTTTGTCCCCATGTGCAGTTACAAACCGTAGTCTGGCTTTTTTATGGCGGTTTTGGAGCAGTGGCTTCTTCCTTGCTGAGCGGCCTTTCAGGTTATGTCGATATAGGACTCGTTTTACTGTGGATATAGATACTTTTGTACCTGTTTCCTCCAGCATCTTCACAAGGTCCTTTGCTGTTGTTCTGGGATTGATTTGCACTTTTCGCACCAAAGTACGTTCATCTCTAGGAGACAGAATGCGTCTCCTTCCTGAGCGGTATGACGGCTGCGTGGTCCCATGGTGTTTATACTTGCGTACTATTGTTTGTACAGATGAACGTGGTACCTTCAGGCGTTTGGAAATTGCTCCCAAGGATGAACCAGACTTGTGGAGGTCTACCATTTTTTTCTGAGGTCTTGGCTGATTTCTTTTGATTTTCCCATGATGTCAAGCAAAGAGGCACTGAGTTTGAAGGTAGGCCTTGAAATACATCCACAGGTCCACCTCCAATTGACTCAAATGATGTCAATTAGCCTATCAGAAGCTTCTAAAGCCATGACATCATTTTCTGGAATTTTCCAAGCTGTTTAAAGGCACAGTCAACTTAGTGTATGTAAACTTCTGACCCACTGGAATTGTGATATAGTGAATTATAAGTGAAATAATCTGTCTGTAAACAATTGTTGGAAAAATTACTTGTGTCATGCACAAAGTAGATGTCCTAGTGGTTGAAAAACGACTTTTAATGACTCCAACCTAAGTGTATGTAAACTTCTGACTTCAACTGTGTAATGTCTGTTCCATAACCCCTATAATGTTGATAATACAACTGTAAACTTTTTCAGAGAGTAAAGTAAAATGGGATGTACCTTGTGGGTCCGCTTTTTTGAAAGCATTGCCTGCATCAAGGAAATTGATGGCTCCATCAAGTTTGTTGTCCATCTGCAGATGAAGGTGTGCTGCTTGAGAGAATGCGTTGCCAGCAGCTGGAACAAAATATGAACCAAGGTATTATGTTGGTTACACCCCACACACCCCTTGCCGTTCTAAATGTCCACTATAACCAAATCTTACCACTCCAATTTTTGGCCATTTTGAACATGTTTGCTGCCCTCACATACATGTCACAGGCTTCCTCATACTTGCGGGATGAACCTCTGGAGAAAAATTCAAAATTTTTTATTTAGACCAAATACTACATATCAATATCAAAACATGTTTTTCATGACAACGAAGGAACAAGGCAAAAAGAAGTTGCTGATATAAATTTTTCCATCTAATTGGTAACAGATTTTCATGCAAATATTCTAAAATCCGCAATATGCCCATTTTCCCACCAGGGATGTTTCCATCAAATTGACTTGTTGCATATAAAAGGCTGTGCGTGATGACGTAGTGCACATAAAATATATTTTGCTGTTAAATTCCCATGTACTGAATAAAAAATACAAGTTAAATGGGTTTCCAAAAAATTGTGCGTTATATAGCGAGTGTGGTTCTAACCAACAGCGCTGTTGGCTAGAGTGCACATATAGCCTACATGATGAGATTATTATTATGGACAAAAGAGCGAGATTATTTTTATTTGTCAAATGGCAGCCAAACATCGATCATCACATCACCAGAATAAGACCTTGATAGCGCTGTTGGCTAGAGCGCACGTGACAATAAAAAAAAAGGTGAGAAAACCATCAGTAGAGTTGAAAATGCGATGGAAACCCATTTAACTTGTATTTTTTCGTCGGTACATGGGAATTTTATATATATATATATATTTATTTATTGGTACTTTTTACCCCTTTTTCTCCCCAAATCCAATTTGATGGAAATATCTCTGGTGGGAAAATGTTGTGGTCCTCTGTAGCTCAATTGGTAGAGCATGGCGCTTGTAATGCCAGGGTAGTGGGTTCGATCCCCGGGACCATCCATACGTAAAAATGTATGCACACATGACTGTAAGACGCTTTGGATAAAAGCGTCTGCTAAATGGCATATTATATTATATTATAAAATGCATATTCAGTTTTTATGCAGATTTTAGAATAGTAGCAAGAAAATCTGTTGCCAATTGGATGGAAACAAAGTTTATGATTAAGAACGTGGAGGGGGTATTTTGATATTTTATTAGGATCCCCATTAGCTGTTGCAAAAGCAGCAGCTACTCTTCCTGGGGTCCACACAAAACATGACATAATACAGAACATTAATAGACAAGAACAGCTCAAGGACAGAACTACATAAAACATTTTTAAAGGCACACGTAGCCTACATATCAATACATACACACAAACTATCTAGGTCAAATAGGGGAGACGCGTTGTGCCATGAGGTGTTGCTTTATCAGTTTTTTTAAACCAGGTTTGCTGTTTATTTGAGCAATATGAGATGGAACGGAGTTCCATGCAATAATGCCTCTATATAATACTATACACTTTCTTGAATTTGTTCTGGATTTGGGGACCGTGAAAAGACCCCTGGTGGCATGTCTGGTGGGGTAAGTGTGTGTGTCAGAGCTGTGTGTAAGTTGACTATGCAAAATATTTGGGATTTTCAACACATTAATGTTTCTTATAAAAAGAAGAAGTGATGCAGTCAGTCTCGCCTCAACTCTTAGCCAAGAGAGACTGGCATGCATAGTATTTATATCAGCCCTCTGATTACAATGAAGAGCAAGATGTGCCGCTCTGTTTTGGGCCAGCTGCAGCTTAACTAGGTATTTCCTTGCAGCACTGGACCACACAACTGTACAATAATCAAGATTAGACAAAACTAGAGCCTGCAGAACTTGCTTTTTGAAGTGTGGTGTCAAAAAAGCAGAGCATCTCTATATTACGGACAGACCTCTCCCCATCTTTACAACCATTGAATCTATATGTTTTGACCATGATAGTTTACAATCTAAGGTAACACCAAGTAATTTAGTCTCCTCAACTTGTTCAACAGCCACACCATTCATTACCAGATTCAGCTGAGGTCTAAAACTTATGGAATGATTTGTACCAAATACAATGCTCTTAGTTTTAGAGATGTTCAGGACCAGTTTATTAGTGGCCACCCATTCCAAAACAGACTGCAAGTCTTTGTTAAAGGTTTCAGTGACTTCATTAGCTGTGGTTGCTGATGCGTATATGGTTGAATCATCAGCATACATGGACACACATGCTTTGTTTAATGCCAGTGGCAGGTCATTGGTACAAATAGAAAAGAGTAGAGGGCCTAGAGAGCTGCCCTGTGGTACACCACACTTTACATGTTTGACATTAGAGAAGCTCCCATTAAAGAAAACCCTTTGCGTTCTATTAGATAGATAGCTCTGAATCCACAATATGGCAGAGGTTGAAAAGCCATAACACATACGTTTTTTCAACAACAGGTTATGGTCAATAATATCAAAGGCTGCACTGAAATCTAACAGTCCAGCTCCCACAATCTTTCAACCAATCATCAGTAATTTGTGTCAGTGCAGTACATGTTGAGTGCCCTTCTCTTTAAGCATGCTGAAAGTATGGTGTTAATTTGTTTACAGAGAAATAGCATTGTATTTGTTCAAACACAATTCTTTCCAACAGTTTGCTAAGAGCTGGCAGTAAGCTTATAGGTCTGTTGTTAGAACCAGTAAAGGCCGCTTTACCATTCCTGGGTAGCTGAATTACTTTGGCTTACCTCCAGACCTGAGGACAAAGACTTTCCTCAAGCCTCAAATTAAAGATATGACAGATAGGAGTGGCTATAGAGTCAGCTACCATCCTCAGTAGCTTTCCATCTAAGTTGTCAATGCCAGGAGGTTTGTCATTATTGATCGATAACAATAATTTGTCCACCTGTCCCACACTAACTTTACAAAATTCAAACTTGCAATGCTTTTCTTTCATTATTTATTTTTTTATGCATGAATACGATAGCTCACTGTTCATTGTTGGCAATTCCTGCCTAAGTTTGTCCACTTTGCCTATTAAGTAATCATTAAAATAATTGGCAACATCAAATGGTTTTGTGATGAATAAGCCTTCTGATTCGATGAAAGATGGAGTTGAATTTGTCTTTCTGCCCATAATTTCATTTAAAGTACTCCAAAGTTTTTTTTTTTTTTTCATCATTCTTTATATCATTGATCTTGGCTTCATAATACAGTTTTTTCTTCTTTTTGTTGAGTTTAGTCACATAATTTCTCAATTTGCAGTAAGTCAACCAGTCAGATGTGCAGCCAGACTTATTAGCCACTCATTTTGCCCCATCTCTTTCAACCATACAGTTTTTCAATTCCTCATCAATCCATGGAGCCTTAACAGTTCTAACAGTTAGTTTCCTAACAGGTGCATGTTTATCAATAATTGGAAGAAGCAATTTCATAAATTACTCAAGTGCAGCGTCTGGATGCTCCTTATTAATCACATCAGACCAACAAATATGTTTTGCATCATCCACATACGAGTACAGCAAAATCTTTTGTATGATCTCTTATACACTATTGTAGGTCCAGCTGTTGGAACTTTGGCTTTCCTGGATATAGCCACTATATTGTGATCACTGCATCCAATGGGTACGGATACAGCTTTAGAACAAAGTTCTACAGTATTAGTAAAAATGTGATTGATACATGTGGATGATCTTGTTCCTGTAGTGTTTGTAAACACCCTGGTAGGTTGATTAATAACATGAACCAGATTACAGGCACTGGTTACAGTAAGAAGCTTCCTCTTGAGCAGACAGCTTGATGAAAACCAGTCAGGTCCCCAAGAAAGTAGACCTCTCTGTTTACATCACATACACTATCAAGCATTTCACACATATTATTTAGATACTGACTGTTCGCACTTGGTGGCCTATAGCAACACCCCAAAACAAAACGCTTTAGATGTGGCAAATGTACCTGCAACCACAACACTTCAATAACACTTGACATAAGATCTTCTCTAAGCATTACAGGGATATGGCTCTGAATATATACAGCAACACCTCCCCCATAAGCATTTCTGTCTCTTCTATAGATGTTATATTCTTGTATTGCTACTGCTGTATCATCAAATGAATTATCTAAGTGATTCTCAGAAATGCCTAATATATGAATGTTATCTGATGTTAGCAAGTTATTGATTTCATTAACCTTATTTCTAAGGCTACGTATATTAATATGGGCTATTTTCAGCCCTTTCCTGGGTAGCTTATCAGAGATAGACGTAATACTGAAAAGAGCAAACAAAGCAAGATAAAAAAATATACATTCAGCAGTCCATTAATCAATTTGTGTGTGTGTGCTGCGGGGTTGAAGCTACGAACCAATTGGCTTGGCTCTCTCATCCCTTTCAGGCTTCTGGGAGGGACGACAATGAGCCTGTCAAAGCGGATGTAACAATGTCCCCACGCGCTCTGGCAGCTTTCATGGCTGGGATAAGTTCTTTCCTCTTCTGGCGTACGTTCAGGATAGTCCTCGTTGAGATAGATATAAGTTCCTCTCAAGTTCTTGGCTCTTTCCAGAACAGCTACCTTGTCCTTGAACATCAGGAACTTGACCACTATCGGCCTGGGCCTGTCACCTGGGCCGGTGGTGGGTTTTCCAGTCCTGTGGGCGCGCTCCACTTCAATCTTCCTGTGGTCCATCTTCAATTTCTCAGAGATAATTTCCCTCACTTTGTCCTCAGACTCTGTCCAGGTCTCGTGGAGATTCTGCAATTCCATCCACAACCATGTTGTTATTCCTTGATATGCTGCTAGCTAGCAGCTAGACTAACTGCAACGCCAAATTGCTCCTCAGACCCGTTCCTGGTCGGCAGGATCACTGTACATGTCCTTGGTCAGCAGGATCACTGGACAGAGACTAGCAATCCCAGCAACTGATGCCAACTGTGTCGCGGGATCCAAACTAAAAAGTTAGCTAGCTACTAAGTACTTCCCAATACACTTTCAAAACAACAAACTTTTCAAAACAACAAATCCGAGCCCTTCCTCATTCCACGTTCAACAAGTGACGCAATAGAGGAACTTTTTTTTTTTTTCACCTTTATTTAACCAGGTAAACCAGTTGAGAACAAGTTCTCATTTACAACTGCGACCTGGCCAAGATAAAGCAAAGCAGTGCGATAAAAACAACAACACAGAGTTACATATGGGGTAAAACAAAACAAAGTCAAAAATACAACAGAAATACATATATATACAGTGTGTGCAAATGTAGCAAGTTATGGAGGTAAGGCAATAAATAGGCTATAGTGCAAAATAATTACAATTAGTATTAACACTGGAATGATAGATGTGCAAGAGATGATGTGCAAATAGAGATACTGGGGTACAAATGAGCAAAATAAATAACAATATAGGGATGAGGTAGTTGGGCGGGCTAATTTCAGATGGGCTGTGTACAGGTGCAGTGATCGGTAAGGTGCTCTGACAACTGATGCTTAAAGTTAGTGAGGGAGATAAGTGTCTCCAGCTTCAGAGATTTTTGCAATTTGTTCCAGTCATTGGCAGCAGAGAACTGGAAGGAATGGCGGCCAAAGGAGGTGTTGGCTTTGGGGATGACCAGTGAGATATACCTGCTGGAGCGCAGACTACGGGTGGGTGTTGCTATGGTGACCAATGAGCTAAGATAAGGCGGGGATTTGCCTAGCAGTGATTTATAGATGGCCTGGAGCCAGTGGGTTTGGCGACGAATATGTAGTGAGGACCAGCCAACAAGAGCGTACAGGTCACAGTGGTGGGTAGTATATGGGGCTTTGGAGACAAAACGGATGGCACTGTGATAGATTACATCCAATTTGCTGAGTAGAGTGTTGGAGGCTATTTTGTAAATGACATCGCCGAAGTCAAGGATCGGTAGGATAGTCAGTTTTACTAGGGCATGTTTGGCAGCATGAGTGAAGGAGGCTTTGTTGCGAAATAGGAAACCGATTCTAGATTTAACTTTGGATTGGAGATTCTTAATGTGAGTCTGGAAGGAGAGTTTACAGTCTAACCAGACACCTAGATATTTGTAGTTGTCCACATACTCTAGGTCAGACCCGTCGAGAGTAGTGATTCTAGTCGGGTGGGCGGGTGCAAGCAGCGTTCGGTTGAAGAGCATGCATTTAGTTTTACTAGTGTTTAAGAGCAGTTGGAGGCTACTGAAGGAGAATTGTATGGCATTGAAGCTCGTTTGGAGGTTTGTTAACACAGTGTCCAATGAAGGGCCAGATGTATACAAAATGGTGTCGTCTGCGTAGAGGTGGATCTGAGAGTCACCAGCAGCAAGAGCGACGTCATTGATATACACAGAGAAAAGAGTCGGCCCAAGAATTGAACCCTGTGGCACCCCCATAGAGACTGCCATAGGTCCAGACAACAGGCCCTCTGATTTGACACATTGAACTCTATCTGAGAAGTAGTTGGTGAACCAGGCGAGGCAGTCATTTGAGAAACCAAGGCTATTTAGTCTGCCAATAAGAATGCGGTGGTCTGACTGTACAGTAACCCAACAAATTATGGGGTATTCTCGATATTTGAACTTTCCTTGCAATCAATTTCAAATCCTTTTTGTAATATGAAATGTAAATGTGATGTATTGTATTGATGCTAATTTCCTCTTTTGATTCCAAAAACTAGTGAAATATATAGGAAATAAAATAAAATCATAATAATAATAATATATAAGTAGACATAACTATGGAATAAAGACAATACAAAAAGAGAAGCAACAAAAAAGAGATGATGCAAAACAACTGTCTGTAACTCATGAAACAGAAAATAAATAGAGATATGTTGTTGTTTTCATTATCTTGTTTTTTTGGGGGGGGCGGGGGTATGCAAAACGGAGTTGGCTAAACCACAAAACAGATGGAGCCAGCAAAGTGATATGACAATGCTGTCAGTAGACCACAGATGAGGACTGAGCACGCCCCCATTCTCATCGACGGGGCTGTAGTGGAACAGGTTGAGAGCTTCAAGTTCCTTGGTGTCCACATCACCAACAAACTATCATGGTCCAAACACACCAAGACAGTCGTGAAGAGGGCACGACAAAGCCTATTCCCCCTCAGGAGACTGAAAAGATTTGGCATGGGTCCTCAGATCCTCAAAAAATTATACAGCTGCACCATCGAGAGCATCCTGACTGGTTGCATCACCGCCTGGTATGGCAACTGCTTGGCCTCCGACCGCAAGGCACTACAGAGGGTAGTGCGTACGGCCCAGTACATCACTGGGGCCAAGCTTCCTGCCATCCAGGACCTCTATACCAGGCGGTGTCAGAGGAAGGCCCTCAAAATTGTCAAAGACTCCAGCCACCCTAGTCATAGACTGTTCTCTCTGCTACCGCACGGCAAGCGGTACCGGAGTGCCAAGTCTAGGTCCAAAAGACTTCTCAACAGCTTCTACCCCCAAGCCATAAGACTCCTGAACAGCTAATCATGGCTACCCGGACTATTTGCACTGCCCCCCCACCCCATCCTTTTTACGTTGCTGCTACTCTGTTAATTATTTATGCATAGTCACTTTAACTCTACCCACATGTACATATTACTTCAACTACCCGGTGTCCCCGCACATTGACTCTGCACCGGTACCCCCCTGTATATATAGCCTCCCTACTGTTATTTTATTTTACTTCTGCTCTTTTTTTTTCAACACTTTTTTTGTTGTTGTTTTATTTTTACTTTCTTTGTTAAAAATAAATGCACTGTTGGTTAAGGGCTGTAAGTAAGCATTTCACTGTAATGTCTGCACCTGTTGTATTCGGCGCATGTGACCAATAACATTTGATTTGATTTGATTTGAATAAGGAATCTGAGTAGACCGGGGGTAACCATTTGGTGTGTGACATAGCTAGTTAGTTAACCTTATCGCCACGGCACATAACGTATAGCTAACGTTATTATTTTAGTGGGTTTTATTGTGTTTTGCAGCTACATACTTTCATGTTAAAATACATTTATGGGATGCTGGGGATCTGAACTAGTAGTTAACGTTAGCTAATACAAAACAACTACGCTAACGATAGCTATCAAAGGTTAGCTAGGCTAGTTTGCGCATACCCCAACAATGTCCCAAATCCTCGTGAGGATTTCATCTTTTTATCAGCCTCAGCCATGAGAGTCAAAGCCTCCTTCTCTTTCGCGGAATTATCCATATTTTTTAAACAAATTATTATTCGTGAGCTCTGAAAATCGTACGTGGTATCGAGGACTGCAGAACACAGTAAACTGTATTTATGTTTAGCTACGCGGCACGTCACACTGAAAACAGGAAGTGTAAAATCAGGTGATCAGTAATAAAAACACGTGGTGGTATGGTACTTCTGTGAGACATTGTAGCAAAGATTATCTATAATTTCGGAAACATTTGCGTCATTGCACGTATCACCGAAACATTACTACTAACAATGGAAGGCTATCAACCACTCAAAGGAAGTTTATATGGAAGTTTTGGCTTTAAATTGGATGCTAAAGGAATCTTAACAGACAAAAGCATAGTTTACTGTTTCCATTGCGAACAGAGTTTTTCCTACCATCGCAGCAAAACAAGCTTGCAATACCATTTGCGAAAAAAACATCCTCTTGTCACTAAAGCTAAACCTAGTGATGATGGAGAGTCAGACTCGGAAATCACAGGTATTTTTGCATGATCATATGCATTCATTTGGCCATAATTGTATTTGGTTATTTAAAAGTTTTTCTCGTTTTTCTGAGCGCATGCACTTTTGACCATAACCCAAAGTCTTTGATCAGTTCCTGTTCAAAGGTATATCTCTAGTTTGATAGAGATGGCTTTATTTTGAAACTACGGGCGCCGTAATTTTATGAAGGTATTCTGATGGGGTTCCGATTTTTTAATTTTTTATTATCAAATTATTCTGGACTAGAGATAATTAGTAGTTGGATATGGTCGTTAATCTCAGGTGAAAGATACCGTTATCAAAGATCAATGGACCCTAGTCTAAATTGATAGACAGCCCAGGAGCTAAGGGACCTCAAACTCCTTTGTGGTGAAAATATTTAATACATCTTGAGATCCTTATTCATGTTTTGAGAGAAAAGGAAATCTCAATGCATGCCAAACATGATAGCGTATCATACAATTAGTGCATGTTTTCTGTGCCCTTTTTAATGAGTTGTTGTTATTGCTGAGGTAGTTAAATGGCAATTATTTTTCTACATCTTAATACAGGACAGCTATGTAACAAGTCACAGATTGATTTAACATTGAACAAAGGTGTATTTATCTTGCATTCCAGTGATCTCTGACAACTCTAACATGGATTTCCGAGGGTACCCCTTGTCCAGCAGTCTGGGCCCAAATTTGAGGAGGAGGGGGGATCGGGGAGCAGCAGGACTGGTTCTGGATAGACGCAAGTCTACAGTTTGGAATTACTATATCCAGCTTAATGAGATGTATGTTGAGTGCAATATATGCAAGAGACAGTTGTCTTTTCACAACAGCACTACAACTATGAGGGAGCACCTTGTCCGCAAACATAATATACGCGACAATGGGCCACCTGTACTCCATAACACAGTGGTGTCCGTGGCCCCGATTCCAGCTACATCACTTCAGCCCAGATTCCCCTGCAACATCTCCACTACATCTACTACTGCCAACACATGCATGTTCCAGACGGATTTGCAGATATTTGTAAAAGAGGAGCAGCAGGATGCTGACTTATCTCCTGAACAAGGGACGGCCAAACGTGCACGATTCACATGTGCTCCCCCAGATGTAGGAGGCGGTGCCAATGCAAACCCTGTCTGCAGCCAAGATTTGGAACCGTCAAATTCAAATACTGGATTACTATACAGTGAGAACAACAACTTTGGTGATAGCAATCGCAGTGGCACTTGTATCAAGGAATCCAATGATAAGCGAACTGGGTTCCTGACTGACCTAATATTAGAAGTGGTGTACAGGGACTTGCAGCCACTGTCTGTGGTGGAGGAGAAGGGATTTTGTCTTCTGTTGAGCTGCTTAGAACCACAGTACCCAATGCCATCTCCCTCTCAGCTCGGCAGCCTTATTTGGCATCGCTATGATGTTCTTAAACGGCAACTGCAGCAGTGTCTTCAGTCTGGCCTGGCACCACGTGGCATAACACTTTGCACTGAATACTGGCGGTCAGTAGCAGGTTGTGAGGAGGGAGCATGCGGCCGGCTGTTCTTCACTGTAAGTGCACATTTTGTTGACAAAGACTGGCGCTTGGCCCGTTGTGTGCTGCAGACCCGTCCCATGCCCGATATCAGAGAGAGGGCTGGTGGAAGAGGGTTCACTCAATTTGGTGACACCCTAAAGGCTGTTCTCTCTGAATTCCATCTCCCCCAGAGCTCTGTTTTCTGTGTTGTGCACGATGCTCCCAGGACCTTAGAGGCCAGAGGGACTGCGAATATGGGACTTCAGAAAGAAAAAGAAAATCAAATTGCTGGACCAGGCCAATCGCCTCAGGATCTCCCAGAGGGCTGGGTAGTATTAAAATGTGCAGGGGAAGCCCTCAAACTCTGCATCCAGGAAGGACTATGGATGGAACCTGTCAGACAGGCTCTTGCTGAGGCCCGCAGGATTATTTCACATTTCCAGCATGACGCACCTGCTGCTGCCGCTCTAATCCACAAAGCAGAAGCTGCATATAAGGCCGGTGCTTGTCTGGTGCTGGATGACCCAGGGCGCTGGGCAACTACTGTCGACATGTGTGAGAGTCTGCTAGGGCTGAAGTGGGTGGTGAGCTCAGTTCTAGAGGAGCAGAAAGCTGCTCCAAATTTAGCGGACCACCAGTGGCGCCTCCTCCAGGAGCTGGTGCCAGTGCTTAAGACCATGCGCATCGCTGCCTCCTTCTTGAGTGAGGACATAAATGTGTCCATCTCCGCCCTTATGCCGTGCCTCCATGGTGTATCCCGTGTCCTAAGGCAACACATCGCAGAGAGCAGCTGCCCTGTGGCTCAAGGAGTCATGGAGACAGTGCAGTCAGGAATGGAGCGACAGTGGAGGCTGGGTGAAGAGGAGGCCTTACTGGACAGCCCTGCTATCCTCTCCTCATTCCTGGACCCGAGGTTTAAGGAGCTGCGCTTCCTCAGCCCACATGCACGTAGTAAGCTGCACGACAAGGTCAAAGAACAGTTATCTGCTCAAGCGCAAATAGAGGCGGAGGAAATAAGCAGAGAGTGTGATAAAGGAGGTGATGATGAGGAGGATGAAGAGGGAAGGGGAGTGACTAATATGGAATTGAATAACTCTCAGTCAACAATCGCTCATCTGCAGCCCCCTTTCTATAATCAAGTGAGCCCTGGGCCCAAAACCATGTACGACATACTGCTAGGAGAGGATCCCACTGAGCGAATGCCTGAGATCCACCAACAGCTGGAGAACTACATTGCAGAGCCGTTGTGCAAACGCAGCCTGTCACCTCTCCACTGGTGGCGCTCTAAGGAGCATCGCTTCCCTGCCGTGGCCAGACTTGCCCGTACATTTCTGGCTATCCCTACTACTGCCGTGGCTGCAGACAGAGCTTTTGCTCCTAGAGAGACTACTGTTGCTCAACGCAGGGCCATTCTGGGGCCCCAGTGTTTGGATCATATTCTATTCCTTCACCAGAACAGTGACTATGTGGAGAAACTGATGGGAGTGTCTACGGGGCATGGAGAGAGAGGCAGTGACAGGAATGGAGCCAAGAAGACAAGAGAGACTCTGTATCAGTCTTTAGTGTCCTATGAGAGCAAGACTTGGGTGGGAGGGGAGAAGTTGTGAGCTTGTGGTCAGTCTATATACCTTCCTTTATCATAGTAAGAACAGATTTGTGCATATGCACACACAACATAGGCCTGTGAGAAAAGATCCATCCATTCATGCCTATGATTTAGCTGACTTCAACTGATCTAGGTAAAGAGGTTGAAAGATCATCGACAACGCAAACAAATAATGCAGCTATTGGGCTCAAAGCCACACTTGTGTGTTGTCTGTTTTTACATTGAAAATAGTGTCTGGCCTACTAGTAGTGTATGACCTACATATCTACATGTTTTTTTTACATTTGTAGTCATTTAGCAGACGCTCTTATCCAGAGCGACTTACAGTTAGTGAGTGCATACATTTTTCATACTGGCCCCTTGGGAATCGAAACCACAACCCTGGCGTTGCAAGCGCCATGCTCTACCAACTGAGCTACAGGAGCTGCTATTTTACATTATAAGTCGTTGTAAAGTTCTTTCAAAGTGTACCATACCAAATAATATGTATCCTATATGTAAAGTTGTGAGGAGTTGTTGATGTATTGTCAATCTAGCTGAATGACAAAAATGCACTTTGTCCTTGGTTTGCATGAAGTAAAAACACTGGTTCAACAGCAAAGCTTGTACAATAATTGCAGCATGATTTTCATTTAGGAATAAGAAATGTCTCAAACACTATCTGTGAAGAACTGTTGCATTAAAGGAATGGTTCAAAAACATTTAAAAAAATTCAGACAAACAAAAGTATTTACAGTGCCTTAGGAAACTATTCATACCCCTTTACTTTTTCCACATTTTGTTACGTTACAGCCTTATTCTAAAATTGATTAAATCGTTTTTTCCCCTCAATCTACACACAATACCCCATAATGACAAAGCAAAAACAAGTTGTACATTTTTGCTAATTTATTCAAAATAAAAAATGTAAATATCACATTTACATAAGTATTCAGACCCTTTACTCAGTACTTTGTTGAAGCACCTTTGGCAGCGATTACAGCCTCAAGTCTTCTTGGGTATGACGCTACAAGCTTGGCTCACCTGTATTTGGGGAGTTTCTCCCAATCTTCTCTGCAGAGCCTCAAGCTCTGTCAGGTTGGATGGGGAGCGTTGCTGCACAGCTATTTTCAGGTCTCTCCAGAGATGTTCGATCGGGTTCAAGTTCGGGCTGGCTGGGCCACTCAAGGACATTCAGAGACTTGTCCGGTTGGAAGGTGAACGTTTGCCCCAGTCTGAGGTGCTGAGCGCTCTGGAGCAGGTTTCCATCAAGGATCTCTCTGTACTTTGCTCCATTCATCTTTGCCTCTCCTGACTAGTCTCCCAGACCATGCCACAGGAAGAACATTCCCACAGCATGATGCTGCCACCACGCTTCACCGTAGTGAGACCATAACATATTTATTTTAAAACAACACGTGAGTGAGACCAGTTTAACTTTCATCAACTCTCTCACAGTAGAGGAAATGCCACTTAGGTAAAGGCCAGTACGCTTCCTGAACTACAAAAATATAAACGCAACATGTAAAGTGTTGGTCCCATGTTTCATTAGCTGAAGAAAAAAAAATCACAGACATTTTCCATATGCACAAAAAGCTTATTTCTCTCAAATGTTGTGTACAAATTTGTTTACATCCCTGTTAGTGAGCATTTCTCCTTTGCCATGATAATCCATCCACCTGACAGATGTGGCATATCAAGAAGCTGATTAAACCGCATGATCATTACACCTTGTGCTGGGGAAAATAAAAAGCCACTTTAAAATGTGCAGTTTTGTCACACAACACAATGCCACAGATGTCTCAAGTTTTGAGGGAGCGTGCAATTGGCATGCTGACTGCAGGAATGTCCACCAGAGCTGTCGCCAAATAATTGAATGTTAATTTCACTACCATAAGCTGCCTCCAATGTCGTGTTAGCGAATTTGGCAGTACGTCCAACCGGCCTCACAACCGCAGACCACGTATAACCACGCCAGCCCAGGACCTCCACATCCGGCTTCTTCACCTGCAGGATCGTCTGAGGAGGGGGACGGGGGTGCTGAGGAGAATTTCTCTGTAATAAAGCCCCTATGCCCACCAAGGCCCAGCCATGGCTACGCCCCTGCCCAGTCATGTGAAATCCATAGATTAGGGCCTAATGAATTTATTTCAATTGACTGATTTCCTTATACACTGCTAAAAAAAATAAAGGGAACACTAAAATAACACATCCTAGATCTGAATGAATGAAATAATCTTATTAAATACTTTTTTCTTTACATAGTTGAATGTGCTGACAACAAAATCACACAAAAATTATCAATGGAAATCAAATTTATCAACCCATGGAGGTCTGGATTTGGAGTCACCCTCAAAATTAAAGTGGAAAACCACACTACAGGCTGATCCAACTTTGATGTAAGGTCCTTAAAACAAGTCAAAATGAGGCTCAGTAGTGTATGTGGCCTCCACGTGCCTGTATGACCTCCCTACAACGCCTGGGCATGCTCCTGATGAGGTGGCGGATGGTCTCCTGAGGGATCTCCTCCCAGACCTGGACTAAAGCATCCGCCAACTCCTGGACAGTCTGTGGTGCAACGTGGCGTTGGTGGATAGAGCGAGACATGATGTCCCAGATGTGCTCAATTGGATTCAGGTCTGGGGAACGGGCGGGCCAGTCCATAGCATCAATGCCTTCCTCTTACAGGAACTTCTGACACACTCCAGCCACATGAGGTCTAGCATTGTCTTGCATTAGGAGGAACCCAGGGCCAACCGCACCAGCATATGGTCTCACAAGGGGTCTGAGGATCTCATCTCGGTACCTAATGGCAGTCAGGCTACTTCTGGCGAGCACATGGAGGGCTGTGCGGCCCCCCAAAGAAATGCCACCCCACACCATGACTGACCCACCGCCAAACCGGTCATGCTGGAGGATGTTGCAGGCAGCAGAACGTTCTCCACGGCGTCTCCAGACTCTGTCACGTCTGTCACGTGCTCAGTGTGAACCTGCTTTCATCTGTGAAGAGCACAGGGCGCCAGTGGCAAATTTGCCAATCTTGGTGTTCTCTGGCAAATGCCAAATGTCCTGCACGGTGTTGGGCTGTAAGCACAACCCCCACCTGTGGACATCGGGCCCTCATACCACCCTCATGGAGTCTGTTTCTGACCGTTTGAGCAGACACATGCATATTTGTGGCCTGCTGGAGGTCATTTTGCAGGGCTCTGGCAGTGCTCCTCCTGCTCCTCCTTGCACAAAGACGGAGGTAGCAGTCCTGCTGTTGGGTTGTTGCCCTCCTACGGCCTCCTCCATGTCTCCTGATGTACTGGCCTGTCTCCTGGTAGCGCCTCCATGCTCTGGACACTACGCTGACAGACACAGCAAACCTTCTTGCCACAGCTCGCATTGATGTGCCATCCTGGATGAGCTGCACTACCTGAGCCACTTGTGTGGGTTGTAGACTCCGTCTCATGCTACCACTAGAGTGAAAGCACCGCCAGCATTCAAAAGTGACCAAAACATCAGCCAGGAAGCATAGGAACTGAGAAGTGGTCTGTGGTCACCACCTGCAAAACCAGTCCTTTATTGGGGGTTGTCTTGCTAATTGCCTATAATTTCCACCTGTTGTCTATTCCATTTGCACAACAGCATGTGAAATGTATTGTCAATCAGTGTTGCTTCCTAAGTGGACAGTTTGATTTCACAGAAGTGTGATTGACTTGGAGTTACATTGTGTTGTTTAAGTGTTCCCTTTATTTTTTTGAGCAGTGTATGAACTGTAACTCAGTAAAATCTTTGAAATTGTTGCATGTTGCATTTATATTTTTGTTCAGTATAATTGGAGCGTCCCGGATTTATGTTTACTATGTTACGTCTAGTCTATGAGACCAGTCTGCCAAACTAACTGGCCTGACTGGCTGGTGAAATGCATAGGCATACTTGCTTTCCTATTAATCTTCTGGTTAGGCACAAGGGCTGTCAATTTTTATCGGTACCATGTGTGTCCCACATTCTTATGTCTGAGCTTTCTTATTCCCCTTCTCAGTAAAAAAATTGTATTGTTTCACTCCTCCACCCAATCCCAATTGACATTTTGTCTGTGTTAGATTCACTTGAACAGCTGTTGTCAACACCCATATCCACCCTCTGAGCATGTCCAGCATTAGGCTCAGGCAGCTCAGACCACTGTGTTCTGTTCACAATTTCCAGCTCATTCTTTGCAATCACTACTTTTCTTTGAGATTAAGTGAAAAAACGTTTTGCATTCTTCTACAGCAGAAAAAGAGACTCACCAACACTTCAATAACCTTTATTTGTTCTATATTACTACACCATCATGTCTAGTGGGGGGCTGAAGAACAGAAATGCTGAAACGCTGGAGGATGTCAACACAGTCACAAAAGAGCTCAAGTTTCTTTACAATAAGAGGCTGCTTCCCATAGAAAAGCAATATGGCTTCCAACACTTTCACTCTCCCAGCTTTGAAGATGCAGATTTTGACAACAAACCGATGGTGCTGGTGATGGGTCAGTACTCCACAGGAAAGACTACTTTTATCAGGTGACTATAAGTTATTTAATCAATTGTAAGGGGCTCATGGTCCTATGGCACAGATACAATATTTGCCATACAAATGTCATTCTTTATATGGTGTATGTATATATATTGCATATCTCTTAGTGTGTGTGTGTGTGTGTTTTTGTTTGTGTGCGCGTGTGCACGTGTGTGTGTGTATGATAAAGATATCTCCTTGAGCAAGACTTTCCAGGTAGTCGTGTTGGTCCAGAGCCCACCACAGACAGCTTCACTGCCATCATGCATGGGGAGGTAGAAGAACTGATCCCAGGCAATGCTCTGTCAGTAGACCCCAAAAAGCCCTTTCGCCACCTTAACTCATTTGGAAACACCTTCCTTAACAGGTAAGAGGACATCATGGCAAAGTTAGTGTCTGTTGGCAAAATACATGTTTGAATTGAGGTGCAGGGACAGGAAAAAAAATTATGCCAACAATGTAAATAAAGGAGTGGATGGAAAACTGAGAATAGGGAAAGAGAGGACATGAGAAATGAAATGAAATGGAGAATGAAAGAGAGCTGCATTAACTTGAGTTTTGGAATGCTACCAAAGAGGACAAGCTTGGAAATGTTAGTTAGAATTTCAATTTCATCACATACTGTATCTTCGGTGATGGTTGAAAAACATGCGAAGTTTGATGCAGACAGTCGAATTCTTGTTTTCTCTTTCCCCTAGGTTCCAGTGTGCCCTGCTGCCAAATCAGGTCCTGGAGAGTATCAGCATTATTGACACACCAGGCATCTTAACTTCGGCTAAGAGGAGAATGAGTCGAGGTCAGATGCAAGAAAGCTAAATTGAATGGGGGATGGGATGGATAAGTCCTACTGTCCTAATATATGATTTCAAATCAATTGTTTGAATTGAAAAACGTTTCAGTAGTCCATGTATTCTGCATATACTGTATCCTGCTGGAATTTTGACTTGTACGACGGGTGTTGATTAAAAAACAATAATAACAATTTGGAGGGTGCTTATATTTGTACAAGTGTGTTTAATACACGTGTGAATTGGAAATGTGTTTTTGGGATATCCCAACTCTCCCTGAGACACCCTCGGTCCTCAGAGAGAGGGTGGGTCTTGATTTGAAGCAGAATGTATGATGTCAATAAATTACAATGTATTGAATGGGATGGGAGGACTGTGCAGATCATTTTTACTCTGTGGAGATATTAATCCATGGGTGGAGCTGCTAACTGCCACTCAATCAAATGAAATATTTTAGGTCCACTAGGCTTAAGCATGTTGACTTAATTCGTAGAGTTATTCAATTTCAGTGTTCTATTTCTTTTAATGGATTAATACAACTTCTGTGTTTTTCTTTCTTAATTTAGGATATGATTTCCCAGCAGTGCTGCGCTGGTTTGCAGAACGTGTGGACCGCATCATCCTTCTGTTTGATGCACATAAACTGGAGTTCTCTGATGAGCTCACGCGTGCCTTTGGGGCTCTGCGTGGCTATGAAGACAAGTTGCGTGTGGTACTGAATAAAGCAGACCGGGTGGACTCTCAACAGTTAATGCGAGTGTATGGTGCTCTCATGTGGTCACTGGGAAAGGTGTTTCGAACCCCTGAAATACTCCGGGTTTACATTGGCTCCCTCTGGTCACAGCCACGTCTGTTGTCTGACCACTGTCAACTGCTGGAGCTTGAGGAACTGGATCTTTTGGCAGACATCCGGAACCTGCCTCGAAATGCTGCTGTACGGAAACTCAATGACCTAGTTAAGAGGGCACGCCTAGTTAGGGTGAGGCACGTTTATTGTCTCTATTCATTCGATATAATTGCTCATAAATAAACATAAAAAGTGTATACTTGGAGAGCACTTGCACAGGCATGTATCTTCTTTAGTATCTTGAGATTTGGATATAAACAATTATGGACTCTTTTGAAACCAAGGCTCAGTGCTTCCCATCTTTGTCCTCCTCACTCTAGGCCCATGCACATATCATTAGCCATCTCAAGCAGGAGATGCCCACAGTTTTCTGCAAGGAGAGCAAGAAGCATAACCTGATCTATGAGCTTCCTCTCATCTTCTCCAAGATTCAACAGCAACAGCGAGTGCCAGCTGGTGACTTCCCTGACTGTGCCAAGATGCAGGTCTGCTACCCTCCCAAGTTTGTTGCATGCATATTTTGGTGGATTACCTATTCCATTTACAGAGAACTCATAATTAGGGTCCTATGTTTTGTGCAGTCATCATGTGACATAGTAATATTTTATCCTGTATTTTAAGCCATCCAGAAATGAGAATTACACAAAAAATGTAAGCAATTGTCTGACGATGGTGCTGTACCAAAAGGGGACAATTTAATGAAAAAGGTTAAAATAAAGGTTAAAATACAGGCATGTCACATGATTGCACAAAACACAGGGCCCTACTCATAATGGTTATTGCTGATGTGTTTACTACAGGAAACAGAAAGCTCTCCAGATCTGTACAACTTGTAGAAAATCAGACCAGTTGATATTGCTTCCTCAAAATCATGTTCATATGACTTTCCTGCTTTTTTCTATTCTCAGGAACGGCTTATGGGTCAAGATTTCACAAAGTTCAAGACACTCAAGCCTAGCCTAATGGCTTCCTTGGACAAGTTACTGTCCACTGACATTGCGAAGCTGATGTCTTTACTACATCAACAGGATCTGAGGAAGGCTTCCCTGCCAGGGATACCGGATGGAACCTTCTTTGAAACTGGCAGGTCTCTCAAGGGGGATCCCTTTGAGCAAGTTACAAAGAGTGGAGAAAGCAGGGAAATACAGAATGATGAGTGGGTGGTGACAAAAGATAAACAAAAATATGATGAGATATTCTACAATCTCTGTCCAAATGAGGGCAAACTGAGCGGCACTAAGGCCAAGGAGTGGATGGTCAGCACCCACCTGCCAAACTCGGTACTTGGCCATATCTGGAGGCTGTCTGACGTGGACTGTGATGGCATGCTGGATGATGAGGAGTTTGCCCTAGCCATCCACCTCATTGAGGCCAAACTCGAGGGCCATGGGCTCCCTGGAGAGCTGCCTGCCCACCTGGTGCCACCTTCAAAACGTTTGCATAAAGGATTAGATGTTTAGGTCCTTTTTGTGTAATCCCCTATAAATAGTCATATCCTCTCTCATAACAAAACATGCTTTTACATTTCTCTTTGATAATCGTGATAACTTTGTAATCTACCATTAACCAAAACAACTAGAAGGCACAATAATGAAGAATTGATGGTTGATTATTTACCGATTTCATAATGGTCAGGAGCGGTGAATCAACGGTTGCTGCAGTAAGACAGCCATGTGACATTTAGTGTAGCCTTTACAGAATTACATTACAATAAATATTGATCAGATTTTTGTTTAGCTTAGTCTGGCAGGTCGGTTGGACAGGAGCCTATGATGGGCTGGGCAAAGCAAAACTAGAGAACGTCTAATAATGCAGTCAAATAAAACAACCCTTTTGAATGAAGAGAAATAATAAAACAAAACCTTTGTTCCTAGAAAAGATGACTGGACAGGATAGGTTTCAAACAACTTGGTCCTGTCAGGCCACCCACTGATCTCCCCTGGGAAAGCACAATCCTGGCGGGATTTCCCTTCCATATAATATACTGTCTACAAACACTACAGTATTTATATTCTGGATCCTGGTTCACTCCAATAGATCTACCGCTGGATTGTGAATTGGACTCGTTCTGTCATTTCTTGATTTCTAGATTTCTTGTTTTGATTATTTGTATATTTGTATTGTATTTGCGATACATTCTACTGAACTGTTGGAGCTAGTGTCATAAGCATTTCGCTACACCTGCTATAACATCTGCAAATCTGTGTATGCGACCAATAAACTTTGATTGGATCGTTCTCTATGTTTTAAAAATATTTTTTCAAATGACATTTCAAATTACAATACAATACAATAACAAGTATATATAGGACATCCATATAAGTACATTCTCTTCTTACGAAACATAAATAAACCAAAATAAGAAATATAAATCACTACACATGAATTACCAGTGACAAGTTTCACAAAAGTTTAAGTATCTCAAATAAAATAAACAGAAAAAGGTCAGGGGTTACAATTGTATAAAACTATGATAGAGTTGTAAGAATACATCGTTTTGTTTTGTCATTGACTAATTCTAGAGATTGTATCAAATTTGGGGACAGATTTCAAATATTTGTTTTTGTGTATGTACAATTTACCAGAGAGAATGAAGAATCTCCCGAGTGGCGCAGTGGTCTAAGGCGCAGTGCTAGCTGTGCCACTAGAGATCCTGGTTCGAATCCAGGCTCTGTCGTAGCCGGCCGTGACCGGGAGACCCATGGAGTGGCGCACAATTGGCACAGCGTCGTCCAGGGTAGGGGAGGGAATGGCCGGCAGGGATGTAGCTCAGTTGGTAGAGCATGGCGTTTGCAACGCCAGGGTTGTGGGTTTGATTCCCAGGGTGGGCCAGTATGGGAAAAAATACAAAAATAATGTATGCACTCAATAATGTAAGTCGCTCTGGATAAGAGCGTCTGCTAAATGACTAAAATGTAATGTAAATGTAAGAAATTAACAACTAATTCAGTAGCTTTGTTTTCATTTGAATAATAGCATATTACATCTTTCATTGTAAATACATGGGTCTTATTAATTAGATACAAAATGTAATTAATTAACTCGCTCCAAAATAACTTCACAGAGTCACACTCATAAAACGTGTGTCTAGTTTCCCCTTCTTTATCACAAGTTCATGAATTTAGACAAGTTATTACAAGGGTATATTTTGTGCAATATTTTAAAGTGAATTTGTTTTACTTCATTTGATTGATGTACAAAATCTGTGAGGGAGCAACCAAGCTTTCTTCCATTAAATTTCAGTAATATGTGTACGTTCCAGAAGAATTTCCCGAGTGGAGAGATCGTGTTCTTGGAATGAAAAAGTTCCCTTAAGAATGTATTGTAACATTTCTTATCCAGCAGGGGGCAACCTTCTAACATAAATTGTGCCTCTATCTTGACATGTTCTCCAAAACAAATTAGATTTCATGAATTAAGTAAATCCTGAAGGTATTGCTTTGCATATAGAATTACATTATTTAATGTATTGAGAAGTTATATGTTTCTAAGAACTTTCTATAAGAGAGTATATTCCCTTCTTTATCAAACAAATCAAGCACAAATATAATAGTTATTTCAAATCACTTAGGGAAGAATAAAGACTTGTTTTTAACAACAATATCTTTGTTGTTCCTCATAAGTGTTTTGTGGGGGGAGAAGTTGTGGACGTAACGTAGTTTCCAGGCTAAAAGGGCTTCGTTCTCTGTGGTTCTGAGTCTAGCGGTCACGTGAAGGCAACGATGACGTGTTTGGAAGGTCGAATTTCCTAACCAAACCATTTGATGCAAGCTTTTAGGGGTAGACAAAATGAATTGTTTTATATATTTACTTATATGAATAAATCTATGTATGAAAACTTTATGTATATGCATAAAAACGATCAGCACTAGAACATGCACTTACTCTTGCCTTAATTATTTTCATTTTGAAGTAAATTGTTAGAACAAATAAACACATCTCTCCCACTTTTAAAGATGTGTTCTCTCTTGTGTGAATAGGGACCTCATGAAGATGTTTCGTGGGTTGCTCCGCCTTATTTGTTTAATAACAACGTCAAAAATCAAGGAAATAGCCTTACACCGACACCTCTTGTCGGTAAATCATTTACGGAATCCTACCTTTTGCAACCACTACCTCTCTCAGAGAAGGGCTGCTGCGACTTGCGATATGGGAGTCAAAGTTCATATCACCTATTGGTATGTTGCTATTTTTACTAGTGGTAACGTGACAGTTTATCCCCCAGGCAATGGTTTATTTAGGTAACATTTCCTCTTGGTTGTTATTGCAAATTGCTAGATTGATTGTTAGGAAAGAGCAACCGTAGGCCCTCAACCAAAATTATTGGTTCTCTGAAAATGAGTTGCAGTAGCTTGCTGTAGCTATTTGCTTATAAAGTTCCATAGAGATGACACAATGCTCAGTGAAGTGAAATCATGTTGTTTGATGTTTTACACATTGTTGCTAATCGTCTGTCTCGTGACTAGCGGTGGATGAGGGTACAGGCCCAAGGTACGTGTCCATTCAATTTATAATAAAACATGTGCTATCCCATTTAATAAAATGTTTTTTTTTTTTATGTAATCATTCTTTCTACATCTGAGTGATATTCATGCCTTAATTTTTAGTTCGCCAGACTCAAGACACAGCTTGAGGATGAATTCCCAGGTGATCTTGAGATTGTGAGTAATTTGAAGTAGCCTACATAGTAGAAAATTGCAGATGGATGTTACCAGATGTTTGTTGTTTCAAGTTACTATGGTGACCCCATCCCACCCCTCGCTCTCTCTCTCATCCTTTCTCTCTCTGTCTATCACTCACTCACCAGACTGGTGAAAGTACACCTTCAACCTCTGGGTGGTTTGAGGTGGAGGTGAATGGCAAGTTGGTCCACTCAAAGAAGGTACAGTATCAAACAGTGGAACTTGTCTCTTCACCCAACTCATTCATTTCAGAGAATGTGTGCACAGTATAATTCATACAATATTTTGAAACATACAAACATTTGTTTTCTGCAGGAGGGGTCAGGCTTTGTGGACAATGAGCAGAAAATGGCAGCATTGGTTGATGCCATTGATAAGGTGTTGAGGAAATAAGCTAGTGCTGATTATGGAGGTAAGAACTCATTCCCTGTTTCCACTATTATTAAACCATGTTATTTTTATATTACTTTGGCTTCTTTCTTGTACGCTGGTACTGGTAGTAGCATACATCCATTTCATTGTACATTTCTTAATTTAATGGTTCTCTCCCTCTTTCCACAGTCTGTTCTCTGTTTGTCATCTCCTTGACATTGCATAATGATGGTGGTGCTCCAATTGTCAAAGACATGGGTGCTGCTTGATGAAACCTGCTCTGCCAGGGAGGTGCCCTACAGATTGCTTCAATTCGTACAGTGGCACTGCTTTTGTAAGGTGGTGGGTGATACAAAGGGAGAATATACTGTTTATTTGTAATTGAAACATAACACCTCAATTGAGCTCCTTACATTTTCCCATTGTTTTTACTTTTTTGGCATGTCCAATCTTTAAAACATTTAACATTGTATCTATCGTCCCAAATGTTGATGCAACTATAAAATGCAAGTTATTAACAACTTATCTTTTGTTTATATGTCCACGTTCTTCTCTTAGTTTGTCTGTATTTTAAAAAGGCCTGATGTTTGATTAAACAAGGAAAGGAAGACAACACCTTGGCAGAATAGAAATGCATATTGCAATGTCCAGTAGACTAGTGAGCGGCAGTGACATCCTTGGTAGACATGCCTCAAGGAAAGTTGTAGAGCTGGACTGTCTGGTCCTTGAGTGTCTTTTCCATGACAGATAAATAAGGGACATTTTCATCTTATACAGCATCTATTTACTGTAAAAACAGGACTGTTAACTCTTTGGTGTTACACATTCATTGGGTTTTTATACACATTTCTATAAACATTACAGTAGTTTTAATCTACATTCAAGATTTATGTTACATGTAGCTTCTCTAAAACTACATAATGTTTCATGCATAATGAAAGTAGAAACTGAAATATTTGTCAGATGTGATAACCGATGCAGGCAGCCTGTAGGCATGTGAAACATGATCCCCTTGCCTGGGTATGGTAGATACCAGTAGTTGGCGTGCTTGTTAGAGGAAAAGTACACTGAGTGTACAAAACATTAGGGACACCTTCCTAATATTGACTCCAATGCTTTCCCACAGTTGTGTCTAGTTGGCTGAATATCCTTTGGGTGGTGGACTATTCTTGGTACACACGGGAAGCTGTTGAGCGTGAAAAATCCAGCAGCGTTGCAGTTCTTGACACAAACTGGTGCGCGTGGCACCTATTACCATACACCGTTCAAAGGCACTTAAATATTTTGTCTTGCCCATTCACCCTCTGAATGGCACACATACACAATCTATGTCTCAATTATCGCAAGGCAAAAAAAAAAATCCCTTCATCTGCACTGATTGATTGAAATTGATTTAACAAGTGACATTAATAAGGGATCATAGCTTTCACCTGGATTCACCTGGTCAGTCTATGTCATGGAAAGGGCAGGTGTTCTTAATGTTTTGTACACTCAGTGTATAATTGTCCCTACCAAGATGGCACATGTTCATAGACACAAATGCTCATTTTCGCACAGTTCTTTCCATCAACAGAAACTTATGTGATCTTTTATCATAAATGTGACCCTTCAAGGTCCTGTGATGTAATCTTCTAGATCCAACCCCTCAAAAAAAGTTATGTTTTCATTAGTCATTCTGAATTTTAGTTAAGGATACCAAAAGCAGTTATAAAACATCTGTTTTCAAAATGGTATATCACTACACCTTCAGAGTGAAGCAGGTAAAAGGCAGGAATTAGTATTTTACAGATTGAGAGAGTGGCAGATGTAAGTGTCCCTCTGTGAAGGACTGCCATATGGTTCATTCTCAACAGTAACAGCAGAGATACTGTATATAATGATGAGATGGTCTTGTCTCTGACCTAACAATGGCAGTCGTTGTCCCAAAGGCGGGAAGGCAGGCGGTCTTCTTATCGCTGTATTCCCGCATGGACAGATTTTGACGGGAGTGGACCCTCTCGCTTCGCCTCTTCCTCTCTGGTAACCACCTCCAATTAAGGAAGAACAATCTATATATTTGATGTATTAAAGCAGTGGTTCCCAACCAGGGATACTTGGCCTATCCACAGGGGGTACTTGAGAAGACTCATGAGACCATAGGCTTACTGGTCAAATGCACATGAGGGGTTACTACAGGGGTACCCTTGGCAGAGCAAAATTCAGTTGGTGGTACAGTAACCGAAAAGGTTTGGGAACCACTGCATTAAAATTGCAATATGCGATTGCTACATCCATTTTTTGACTTTTAAATTAATGATATATATATATATTGATTCTTGAAGAATATAACTAAGCCTCATGAGCTTAGTTCAACTGTCTAACTCCATCAGAACCCAAAACATAAGCTTGTTTCACTCCATTGTTTGTAAGCAATGTAATTGTAAAAAACACTGTATAGCTTCAAAAATATATATATATGGAATGGTCAGTCCTTCATATATAGCCCTGTGTATGAATTTGTTAAGCTGTTTACCCAAAAAGGTGGCGGGGTAGCCACTTATTTGAACTCCAGATTTCCCCTTTAACATTCATTGAAAATATATTTAAAAGCAAAGGTCAGGAAGAACATAATAAGCAATGAACAGGTAGATCTGAGTGTGCACTGACAATGTGACATTTGCAGTTCTGTGATATTTTAATACTGAACACGTGTCACCTCGCTGGACAAGGGAGATGCAGAATATAGCGCCCTAGATACAAGAATGTGGCCAACTGTTTGCACACGATAGACACATGTTCTTTCCCAGGGGTGAGTTCAGTTCGATTCAACGTTTGCTACGTACCCCAGGTGAGTCACTGACTGCTCATGTTCAAGAAAAAGTAAGTGCATGTTCTGGGAATTACTACCATCTGGATTATTCTCAACAGTAACATAAATGCATCTGACCTTCTGTCTTTAAAGGAGTGTTGTATTTGAGAGTATCAACACATTTAAAATACATTGATGCCAAGAAGGGCCAATAACATAACAAGCATGGCGCAGGTAGATCTGACACGGCATTGATTTTGTGTCCCCCTAAGGATCGAGTCAATGGCAATTTGATATTGGTAGTGGTGGAAATTAGGGGGATTCAGGGAGTGAATTATTTCAGCATTCAGTTCGAACCCAGACTAACCTTTGCTGGGTTTCCCCAGTGAATCAAGTCAATTTCCACCATTGGATAGGCCTCTAAGTTACACTGAATAAGAACATTTCATATTTTCATTATTGCAGTATACACAACTACCATACAAATAATGTTTTTTGTAGCCTATGGTTTCACTGGACATTTATGTTAATTTTTTTATTTTTTTGCCCACCTCCACCCTCCATAATAGGGTGCAAAATCATCACGTCAAATACAGTGCCTTCGGAAAGTATTCAGACCCCTTGACCTTTTCCACATTTTGTTACGTTACAGCCTTACTCTAAAATTGATTACATTGTTTTTTTCCCTCATCAATCTATACACAATACCTCATAATGACAAAGCAAAAACAGGTTTTTAGAAATATTTGCTAATTTATTACAAATAAAAAACTGAAATATCACATTTACATAAGTATTCAGACCCTTTAGTCAGTACTTTGTTGAAGCACCTTTGGCAGCAATTACAGCATCGAGTCTTCTAGTGTATGACGCTACAAGCTTGGCACACCTATATTTGGTGAGTTTCTCCCATTCTTCTCTGCAGATCCTCTCAGGCTCTGTCAGGTTGGATGGGGAACATTGCTGCACAGCTATTTTCAGGTCTCTCCAGAGATGTTTGATCGGGTTTCTTGTCCGAGCTCTGGCTGGGCCACTCAAGGACATTCAGAGACTTGTCCTGAAGCCACTCCTTCGTTGTCTTGGCTGTGTGCTTAGGGTCGTTGTCCTGAGGTCCAAGGCGCTCTGGAGCAGGTTTTCATCAAGGATCTCTCTGTACTTTGCTCCGTTCATCTTTGCCTCGATCCTGACTAGTCTCCCAGTCCCTGCCGCTGAAAAACATCCCCACAGCATGATGCTGCCACCACCATGCTTCACCGTAGGGATAGTACCAGGTTTCCTCCAGACGTGACGCTTGGCATTCAGGCCAAAGAGTTCAACCTTGGTTTCGTCAGACCAGAGTATCTTGTTTCTCATGGTCTGAGGGTCTTTAGGTGCCTTTTGGCAAACTCCAAGCGGGCTGTCATGTGCCTTTTACTGAGGAGTGGCTTCCGTCTGGCCACTCTACCATAAAGGCCTGATTGGTGGAGTGCTGTAGGGATGGTGGTCCTCCTGGAAGGTTCTCCCATCTCCACAGAGGAACTCTGGAGCTCTGTCAGAGTGACCATCGGGTTCTTGGTCACCTCCCTGACCAAGGCCCTTCTCCCCCGATTGCTCAGTTTGGCCGGGCGGCCAGCTCTAGGAAGAGTCTTGGTGGTTCCAAACTTCTTCCATTTAAGAATGATGGAAGCCACTGTCTTTTTGGGGACCTTCAATGCTGCAGACATTTTTTGGTACACTTCCCCAGATCTGTGCCTTGACACAATCCTGTCTCGGAGCTCTACGGACAAGTCCTTCGACCTCATGGCTTGGTTTTTGCTCTGACATGCACTGTCAACTGTGGGACCTTATATAGACAGGTGTGTGCCTTTCCAAATCATATCCAATCAATTGAATTTACAACAGGTGGACTCCAATCAAGTTGTAGAAACATCTCAAGGATGATCAATGGAAACAGGATGCACCTGAGCACCATAGCAAAGGGTCTGAATACTTATGTAAACAAGGTATTTCCGTTTTTTATTTTTAATAAATGTGCAAAAATGTCTAAAAAGCTGTTATCGCTTTGTCATTATGGGGTATTGTGTGTAGATTGCTGAGATTCAAATAAATGAAATAAATTGGATGATGGTTACTACAGTCTTTCTTTTTTGAGTAGGAGAGTGATTAAGGCGGTGTTCATAGTATGCAGAAGGTTATCGGAGCAATACACGTGCGTAACCATATTAAAAAATATTGGGGAAATAAGGGATTTTTT